TTTCCTGCCAAGATAATGTACGTGGTCGAAGCTGACCGAATCTTATAATCCTACACTCTCTAAGCCGTTGACAGCTACTATAATTAGCCTAGCAAGCCTCTTCAAGCATGTTCACAGCTAGTAGAAAGCAACTATCCAACACAACAGAACTGCGATTTCACAAAGTGGATGAATGAGCTACACACGCGGTCAAGGGCAATCTGTAACGGGGTTGCACGAAATCATGGTACTTTGTACCAGAGGTGTTACACACCTGAGGGTTCGCTTCTGTGAAGGTGATATAGAATATCTTATCGGTTTGTAGGGGCTGACGAGTGTCAGCCATTAGATACGAAAGATCTTTGAGTAGGATTAAGATATTCTATAGGCTTTAACAAAAATAAAATCAGTTCCCATTATGATCTGAAAGACACGTGGCTTGCGAGCCGTCTTGATCGTTGATCTCTGATCACTAAGAGTTAGCGACACCTCCTTGAAGTAGCTACTCTTGAGCACTAAGTGCTGTCGATTCACTGAATCGTTAGGTCCCCTGGAACAGGGATCTGAAGCTATAAAGCTTGTTGACTCGTAAAGTCGTTAGTTCTTTAGAACTAAGTTGCTCGTAGAGCGTTAAGTCTTCCTCTGACTTAAGGAGCTGTGTAGCTCCGCTACACTTGGTAGCACTTGTAGTCAATCTACGCCTGAGTCTTTAAGACTGATCCTCAATGAGGATGGAAAACATCACTCCCCTATCTGAGGCCCAAAAGGTCGCGCTTGATAAGCTGACCGCATCTTTGGGTCCAGAGTACGTGGAGTTCCTTGTTTCACAAGGTCCTGAAGTGCTTAATGCTCGTGTTGAAAGCTTCATGCAGTATGAAGCGAGCCTTTTAGGGCAGGTCCAAGACCAAATAGCGTCGGCTATGCCTACACGCTACGTGTCTGTACCAGACGAAGAGGCTAAGCCTCGTCCACTCAGAGTGGAAGTAAAAAACTACTCCGGTAAGGAGGGTGAGAACCTCATCCTCTGGATCCGTGAGATCGAGATGGCCATGAGATCAGGTCTGATCACGCTTGACCATCAACAGGTCTCGCTGGCTATCTCGAAGCTCGATGGTAGAGCTATATAATGGGCCTTGACGTGTATCACGTCGGTGGATATAGCGTTTTACACATGGGAGTCGCTCAAGTTACAATTGGTACAGGTGTTTTCTCCACCTAACCAGGCTTACCGCGTGCGCTCACGCTTTCTTTCTACCCGCCAGGGTAAGAATGAATTATCGGACTATGTCCAAGAGCTGCGAACGCTCATGGCTGCAATGCAGTCTAACCCTTTGCCTGAAGCAGTCCATGTGACTATCTTCATGGAAGGTCTACGTACTGGCATTGCCAGAACCGAAGTTTTTCGGGTTCACCTCTCTACGTTTGAAGAGGCTGTGACAATTGCTCTTAATGCTGAGCATAACTTCAAGTCGGCCAGACTTGGTTGGAACGGATACAATCCTCGCTCTGTGAGAGCAAAATATTCGGGTACCACTGCCTATAATAGGCCGGAACCGATGGATCTCAGCTTTGCTGAAGATGGAAGTGAAGCTGAGCTTCAAGCTGCTGAGCAGAAACACGTTGTAAGACGATGCTTTACGTGCGGAAGCACTAAACACTTGCGGCCTGGTTGCCCTTTGCGTAAGCAACGCCAGACTACGAGCCAACACTCGAGCCCGAGTTAGAAGTCTGGCATGGCACGGGGAAATGCCGACACCCAGTAGGCGCGGGGCGCCCTACTGGGGAAGAACTATGTTCTGTTACACCTTTAGAAGGTAAAGGAATGCAGGGCTTAGCCCCAAAGAGTACCATACCTACGGGTATGGTGCGTGGATACAAGTCTGGCTTGTTGGTCGCCGAGGCGAAAATTAAGGGCTTCGAGAAGCCTTGGTCGATATTGATCGATTCTGGAGCGTCTTGCAATTATGCTCGACGCTGTTCCCTTAAGGGGTGTCAGCGTTATGCTGAGGCGCTTACAGCGCATGAGGGTGATTCTATCACGGTTCGTTTAGCGACTGGAAGTCGCGTAACGGTGCCTAAAGTTCCATTGAACTTAGGTACAAAGTTTTTAGACTTTGACAGTATTGAGCGCTGTCTTGTCCTAGATTTGGACTCGAGATATGATCTCATCCTAGGTATGGCTTGGCTTGAGCGCCATGAGCCATGTATTGATTGGAGGTCTAAGACCTTAGGCGCTACGCGCAATGTTCCTAGCGAAGATTTGGGGAGTCATGAACCCACCTTTGCTAGGCAGCAGAAGCGCTATTGGCGCGAGCCTTTGACAGAAGATGTCAATGTGCTGGATATTGGAATGTCCGAGTTATCTAACTCCAATGTTAAAAACATAAGTTTCGATCCTAGCTCGTCTAAAACTAGTGAAACGGCACGTACTCCGTTGAGTGGTACTCGTTGTGATAACGAGTCACTGCATGCTGAAAGCATGGTTGGCCTGGGGCCGAGTGATCAAGGATGTGATTCCATTAGTGTGTGTATGGTGGCACGTGAAACTTCAACGAGTGCGGTCGGCCGTGAGAGCACCGCACTGAACGTCGGTGTTGGCGTTGTTGGCGATACGCCGTATAGTGTGGGCGGCCGTAAGGGCACCACACCTAATGTCAGCAATGACACTGTTGGCGATACGCCGTATAGTGTGGACGGCCGTGAGGGCACCACACCTAATGTCGGTCAAGAAAAAAGCTCTCGTGTAGAGCGTACTATGGTTGGTAGTAACCATGGGAACAATATTGTCCCGACCCCTAAGGGGTGTAAGGTCTCAAAGAGACAATCGAGACGCCGAGTAGCAGCTGTAAAGCGCCAGGCGTCCTCACAGTCACATAGTGAGATTAGCAATACACTATATACACTTGTTAATGGAGTGACTGGTCAGGTTAATGGCAATGTGAGCCTCGAAACCCTTCCATCTGTGGACGCTCTATGTGAGCTAGACGAAATGTCTGATGGCGAGTTTAGCCAGGCCTTGAAGGCAGGAGAGTTATCCGAGTTAGCAATCATTAGACCTGATACTGACTTAAATTCTTCCTCGTTAATGGATGAGTCTGTCCTAGAGGATACAAAGGCGGCACTTAGTGCACGAAGTGGATCTTCGATCCTTTGGATCCCTTCTATCCTTTAGTCAAGGAATTTCAAGATGTGGTGTGTCACAACCCACCTTCTGCCTTACCTCCCGATAGAGGTGTACGTCATGAGATTGACTTGGTTCCTGGAACTAAATACTGTGTAACACGGAAGTGGCCTTTGCCTAAAGAACAGTGCGACGTCATTGACGATTTCTTTCGTGCTAAGCACGCGGCTGGAATGGTTCGTGAGAGTAAATCTCCCCATTCAACACCGACATTTTGTGTCAGAAAGCCAAATGGCAAGTGGCGTATTGTGCATGCTTACAATAAGCTTAATGCAGCCACTATACCGGCGCAGACGCCTATTCCTAGAAAGGATGTTCTTCAGAACAATATGGCGGGATGTACACTGTACAGTGCACTCGACCTAGTCGATGGTTATTACCAACTGCTCATGCGAGCAAGCGATATTCCGCTAACAGCGGTGAGTACTCCGAGCGGTATGCTTTGGGAGTGGCTCGTTATGCCACAAGGGCTATCTAACGCCCCGGCTACATTTAACCGGCTGGTAACGCAACTATTCAGACCTCATCGAGGCTATGCACAAACGAACTTTGATGACACTTTTGTCCATAGTCGTGCAATGAATGGGCGATCAGATGTGGATAATCACATCGATCATTTACGAGCGGTGCTCGGGTGTATGCGGATGAATAAGCTGTATGCGAACGCATCGAAGTGCATCTTTATACAGAAGAGATTCCCTTTCTAGGGTGCTTCATTGTGAAGCGAGGCCTTCGAGCGGATCCCGCTAAGGTAAAAGCCATAGTCGATTGGCCAGTCCCCAAGAACCAAAAGGACTTGCGTAAGTGGCTTGGCCTTGCCAATTACTTACATAAGTACAGTGCAAATTACGCAGATATGGCTCGGCCATTGTCCAATCTCCTTAAAAAGGATGTGGGTTGGTGCTGGGGTAACACCGAACATAATGCTTTTGAAGCAGTTAAGGAGAGTCTCCTTCATGCGCCAATATTGGCTTTGCCCGATTCTGGTCGGCCTTTCAGTGTCGTCTGTGACGCATCTGACTTTGCCATAGGCAGTGCTCTGTTAAAAACAGATGTCGACGGACGCGAACGCGTCATCGCATTTGAATCTCGACAGCCGAAAGCTGCTGAAAAGAACTATCCTGTTCACGACAAAGAGCTACTTGCTATGAAGTACGCTCTTGTCAAATTCAGAGTCCATCTGCTTGGCTCGAAGCCATTTGTGATCTATACCGATCATGCGCCATTGCGCACTGCAACACAGTCGCCTCATCTCTCACAGAGAATGGCTCGTTGGCTTTCATTCTTTGCCGAATATAACTTCGAGGTGAAGTACAAGCCAGGTAAGCAAAACGCTTTGGCTGATGCGCTATCGCGTCGACCTGACTATGAGCTTGATCATGTTACGACCCTGTCGTCGTCAGTCCCTGACTTAATTCGTGCGGCATATGCCAAGGACGATCAGTGTGTAGCTTTGCTACGTGCTCTTGGGAGCGATGAGTTTAAAGACTCGGACATAGAATTGTCGGCACGTTTACGTGCGAGGCTACATCGATATTCCATCGATAATGGCCTGTTGTGCTATCGCACGGATATTGAGGACAACCCTCGTATCGTAGTACCTCATGATGAGGAATTAAAGTATCGGATCCTCTATGAGGCACATGATACTGCTTTAAGTGGTCATCTCGGTCGTAAGAAGACTTATAGCTCGGTGAGCCAAAGTTATTGGTGGCCCAGACTTTATAAGTGGGTGCGCACCTATGTGCGTACGTGCGAAACGTGTCAACGGGTAAAACCCTCGGCACATGCGGCGGCGCCGCTGGCTAGTTTGCCGGTACCCAGTGGTTGTTGGGAGTCCATGAGCATGGATTTTGTGTTTGGCCTACCGAAAGATTCGGAAGGCAACACTGATATTGTGGTCTTTGTTGACCGATTGAGCAAGATGGCTCACTTAGCGGCTGTGCCGGATAGCATTGATGCTGAAGGTACAGCAAAGCTGTTTATCGACCGTGTCTTTCGCCAACATGGCTTGCCTGTGGCAATTATCTCTGATAGAGACCCCCGCTTCACTGGGAAGTTTTGGAAGTCTATCTTCAAGGTGCTTGGCACTCGGTTGGACATGTCCACAGCGGATCATCCGCAGACCGACGGTCAAACTGAGCGTGTAAACCGCGTCATCAATGACATTTTTGCGCAGTGTTTGCGCTGATACGCCTAGGCGTTGGAGCTCAATGCTCCCTGTTGTTGAGTTTGCGTTGAATAACGCTGTTCGTGCCTCAACAGGCTTTACTCCGTTCTATATAAACGGTCTCACTCACCCTCGCGTTCCGTTAACGCTATCACTACGTGAATCAGGGCTTGGTGGGGGAGAGGTTGCCGATCGGCTTGCTGATATCAGCCCTGCTACTGTTCAAAAACAGGTAAGCGAGTTTCTCGCAACGCGATTAAATGTCTTAAGACATGTGCGTGACGCAATGGCTGATAGCCAAGATACCCAAAAACAACAAGCTGATGCCAAAGGCAGAAATTGTATTGAACGTTATGAGGTCGGAGACCAAGTACTACTCAATGCTAAAAATCTACCTACAAATGTAGTGTCTGCTGTCTTTAAGACAAAGTTGCGTCCACGCTTTATTGGACCGTTTACGGTCACGGCCAAGAAGGGACTTGCGTATACGCTAAACCTCCCGCGCAAATTGCGCACACATCCAGTGTTCTACGTCGGCTTACTTAAGCCGTACCGGGACCCTTCCCATGTGAACTTGGAGGCGCTTGCGCCGACGACAAGGGCACTGCCCCGGATTGCTGTAGACGAATCAGCAAGTCCAACTGAGCCTCTCTCCGAGTTTAAGCTTGCTCCATCGCCTGAAGGCGGCTTTGCATCGCATCCAGCATGCACTGGGACTTACCCAAGGCCTCTTGAAGACCCTTCACTTCGAGAACCAATTTCTCGTGGGCCTCCACCGGTACACCGGCCGCCACCGACTTTGCTCGATGAGCATGGGTGTCGTCAATTCCATGTCGAGAGACTACTGAAACGACGTCGTCGTCAGGGCCAATACCAGTATTTGGTAAAGTGGGTACCCTGAGTCTGAAAACTCATGGGAATTTGAGGTACCCCTTCGGCAAGACTGCCCATATGCTTTGGAGGCTTTTGAGCATCGTGGCCATGGTCGTCTCGAGGCCGAGGCCTTTCACCACCACTAGTGGTGCGGGTTGGCGGGTTGTTGGTCACAGACTGACCAGCACTCGCGGCTACCTTAGTAGCCGAAGCATAGCGCGTGCGCTTGCGCAATTGGCCTCTGGCCTTAAGCTTGGCATAATCATACCGAAGCTTGCGTTCGAGACGCACATCCGCCGCATGGGCACTAGCCCTTAGAGCAAAAATGTTGCTGAGGCGACGCACATAGTGCACCCAGTGAACAAAAGCATCGTCTTCTTCACTCGCTGTTTCGCCTGCGAGCAGGAGAATGGGTATACCCTTCATCGGTGGAACTGGTGCACCACGTGCTTGCATGTCAAGGCGTGCATTGTATTGACTTTGAGTCGTTAGGTGCGGCTCCAGGTACCTCTCACGAAGTGCCTGGCAGCTCACCAGCTCCTCAGGAGTCTTAGGCCCATGGCCAATGACCCACGTTGCCAATGTTTGGCCGGCCGCTTGACGCAGACGTCCTCCACACTGGGTGGGGTGAACACATAATCACGCTGGCGTTCAAGGGTTGCAGTCATCTGTGCATAACGCTGAGCGTTTTCTTCTCTTTGAACAAGCAGTTGTTGTTGCTCATCGAGCGGGTTCGTGATGATAGTCTCATCAGAACCAGATGCTGCATGCTGCGCTGGCGGCGCGCTCGCACCTCCACGTTCAGCGAACGGATTTGGGGTGTTCGAAAGTTGTACCTCAGGCATCAGTGAGCCGGACGTTGTCCCTGTGTCACCGCGGACACTGGTATCGCTACCATAGTCCACCTCTTCCTCTATTCCGAGGTAGTCACACAGAGCCTTTGACTCGTTTGGTGATGAGGACATCGTGCTGGAGCGTACGTTACCGTGAGGTTCACCGTACGCGCACTGTTCTCGCTGAGAACACGAGTTCGATTGACGTTTTGGCAAACGTCAGTCTGGTGGGGGAGGGTGTAACGGGGTTGCACGAAATCATGGTACTTTGTACCAGAGGTGTTACACACCTGAGGGTTCGCTTCTGTGAAGGTGATATAGAATATCTTATCGGTTTGTAGGGGCTGACGAGTGTCAGCCATTAGATACGAAAGATCTTTGAGTAGGATTAAGATATTCTATAGGCTTTAACAAAAATAAAATCAGTTCCCATTTTGATCTGAAAGACACGTGGCTTGCGAGCCGTCTTGATCGTTGATCTCTGATCACTAAGAGTTAGCGACACCTCCTTGAGGTAGCTACTCTTGAGCACTAAGTGCTGTCGATTCACTGAATCGTTAAGTCCCCTGGAACAGGGATCTGAAGCTATAAAGCTTGTTGACTCGTAAAGTCGTTAGTTCTTTAGAACTAAGTTGCTCGTAGAGCGTTAAGTCTTCCTCTGACTTAAGGAGCTGTGTAGCTCCGCTACACAATCTGCTTTCTGGGAACAGCGCACACAGGGTCGACAATTTGACTACGGAAGTCCCATCTTGCCATCATGACAGACTCTATAATCTCTTTCGTCGGGATGTCTGCCGGATCGATAGGTTGGTTTCCAGATCACACTCGTGTTCGGGTTTGCCTAACGCATTTCCAGACGAAAAAAAATATCTGGCCTGGTAGTTGCTTAATAGAAACGACAGGACTGGATCTCAACGAGGTCGTCACATTCTTTTGGTTATCGCTGTTGAGACGGGGGCGCGCCCGCAGTAAACGGTTCGGAAGCCTTTCACTCGGTGCAACAGTCTATTTGTCGGACTTACTCGCGTGATTCACTCATTATCCATATTTCTTTAGCAAAGCGCTCCATCACCGCATTCCTCTTCTCATCGGGTTAAACTATAGTCAAACCGAAAGCCCAAAAGGATCCCGCCAAATGTTCGCTCAGACATGCCAGTCCGGCTTCATCTCCCTACTCTACAGCATCGGGTGCAGACAGCACGCACTGCTCGTCCTCCCAATTGCTGTTGAAGTCTGACTCGCATTCGTTTGCCCTATTGACCGCAGGACTCGACCGCTGCAGCTCTGTGAGAAGCATGAGGAAACGCCTGGAAGTATCCGACGAGTTAGGGATGACGTGGTTCAGTCGTCGGTAGTGGAGCTCTTGGCCGACAACCTCGTACACACTTGGATACGATTTCCTTCCGCATCCGACGAAGACCAGGAGCAGCAGCAGCTGAGCTCGATGCCGTGGAACACGTCGCTGCACATTCGACTGCGACACCTCGTGCTTGTCCTCAAGAATCTCGGGCAGCACGTCTCACTGGAGGTGCAAGTGGCGGACGACCAGGGCACGCGGAGGCGCTTCCGCTTCTCTACTTTTCAGACCAAAGCGGTCGTCCATCCTCAGATCACGCTATTGCCGCTGCGTTTGGACGAAGGGTGGAACCAGCTACAGCTCGACCTGGTCGACCTCGCACGCTGTTGCTACAATGCACGATACGCACATACTATCAGCGTGCAGCTCCACGCGAGTTGTCGAGTGCGCCGTATTTACTTTGCGGAGCAAATGGTTTCGGAAACTCAGCTCCCAGCAGAGTTCCGTCTGTACAAGCGGCTTAGCAAAGCGCAGACACGGCAATTCCACGAGCAAGACTGTGGTCGAGCATCAGCAGCAGTAGTAGGCGCAGGATGCAGCAGCGTCGACTTTGCAGCCTCGTGGATTATGTTCAGGTTTGATTTTTTTCATTTACTTGTCAGTGCTCGATGGCAATATGTACGACTTCCTGCGAAGCAACTACGACACGCAGACGTGCGAAACAGAGAGCATACGGAGCGACACAGCACCGCCCAACTCAAGCTTCCTGCTTTGCCGAAGAGCCGTCGACTCAAGTGATGACTGTGGGGGTGCTGCGACCAGTTTTCTTCTGCAGGTCCGACAGCTTGAGACCCACGTTAATCAACTTCTCCAGCGCTTCAGCGGCGTTCTGGCCCAAATTGCCCGTCGGCTCCTCGTACTTCTCAATGTACATACGGACAGTCGCACCGGCAACGCCCGTGCCGGACAGCCGGAAGATGACACGCGATCCGCCCTCAAACAGGTAACGGATGCCTTGGTGCGAGGACACACTGCCGTCCACAGGGTCGACGTACTCGAACTCATCGGCCTTTTCGATCTTGAAACCGTCAATCTCCTTGCCTGCCACACCATCGAACTTTGTCATGTCCGCAAACATGACCTCAGCAGCAGCCTTGTCCACATTCTCGTAATCGTAGCGGCAATAGTAGTTGCGCCCGAACTTTTTCCAATGGTCGCGAACAACGTCCTCCACAGTCACGAGCGGAGCACCGTCCACCTGCTTCGACGCCAAGATCGACAGCCAGCTCAGCACAGCCCACATGCCATCCTTCTCACGAATGTGGTTCGATCCCGTTCCGAAGCTCTCCTCGCCACAAATGAATGGCGTGTAGTCCTCCTTGCCAAACACAACATTCGAGTCCATCAAGTTGCCAAAGAACTTCCACCCAGTCGGCACTTCGAAGAACGGCACGTTGAGCTTCTTGGCCACAAGGTCCACCGCACCACTCGTTGGCATCGAACGCGCCACGCCGCGCAGACCATTCTTAAAGAACGGGATCACGGTACAGTTAGCAGCGATAATGGCAAGGGAGTCCGAAGGCGTCACAAAGAAGCGCGAGCCCAGAATCATGTTACGATCAGCATCGCCATCCCAGGCGGCACCGAACGAAGGCGGATCCTGCTCCTGGCCGAGGACGGGCAGGCCCTTAGCATCGACACCCATGGCCTTGATCAGGGTCTTGGCGTACGTCAGATTCGGATCGGCGTGGCAGCCGTTGAAGTCCTTCATCGGAGTGGCGTTCAGTAGGCACGATTCGTCACAGCCCAGCTCCTCCACAAACACACGGCGAGCGTACGGACCGTTCACGCCTGACATCGAGTCCACGACGAAGGAAAAGTCTGAGCGCGACACCAGCTTCTTGATCGCGTGAAAGTCAAAGATCTGTTTCAGCAAGTCCACGTGGTGTTCAGCCGAGTCGAAGACCTCCACCGTGATCGTACGACTCTCGTCGTCAGCAGCGACGCTGGTCGTACCAATCTTGGCAATGTCAATAGTGGGGAACTCCGAGGCGATCTTGTACGACGTGATCACCTTCGACAAAGCGTATACCTCTTCCGTGACCTTTTCAGACGCGGGACCACCGTTCTCGCAGTTGTATTTGATACCGAAGTCTTCGTCCGGGCCACCAGGGTTGTGGCTGGCCGACAGGATGAATGCACCAAATGCGACACTGCCACCCTCGCGCTCACGCACAACAGCTGACACACACGGCGTACTCAGAAGACCATCCTTTCCGATCCAAAGGCGGTCGACACCGTAAGCTACAGCCATCTTGATGACGATTTGGATGGCGTCTTTGTTGAAGTAGCGACCATCGCCGGATACAACGAGCGTGCCACCGTTCAGGTCCTTTGCGGGAAGTGCGTCGAACACAGAAGCTACAAAGTTCTGCAGGTAGTTGTCGCTCATGAAAGTCTTGGTCTTCTTACGCAGACCTGAGGTGCCGGGTTTTTGGTCCTGGAATGGAGTCGTCTTCACGGTCGTCACTTTCAGCTTGCCCAGACCCTTCTGCTCGCTCAAGTCCACCACTGTGTCCTTGTACGTACCAGCCAGGACAGTCTTCTGCTCGGAGCTCTTGTTCACGACCTCCACTGATCCTTCAAATACGACCCCTGCCGCAAAGCCAACATTGCCCGTGATTTTCAAGCGATCACACTTGATCAGCGACGGCACGTTGCCACGCACCGCAGCCTCGAGCTGCTGCACCAACTTAAAGTGCTTCGAGTCCAGCGACACGATCGGGGCCACGCCCTCGCGCTCTGGTGCGATAATTGGACGGTAATCTTCCGTGATCACGTATGCATCCGACCGCAATAGAATCAGGTCATCGCACTTCTTCACAGGCGCGAAACGCGTCCGCGGGACGCACACAGCACCAGCTCCGTCAAAGCACTCGATAGCAGCACCCATGGCAGTCTCCAGCTGAAACACCGGCGTCGAGCTCGAGTCCTTGGGGTCTACTGTTTTGGAATTCTTAATCATAGGCAGACGAATGACACCTCCCTGTTGCTTGAGCTCCTCTTGGAGCTTGTCCAGGCGGATCCACAAGTTGTTCGTGTTAAAGTAGCGGTGCTTGGCAATGTTCTGGAACTCCTTCTCATCCTCGTCAGCACACTGAGCCGACTCCCGCAGGACGAGACGACCATCAGCGGTTCGTTCCGCCAGGTGTCCCCCCTTCTTGTCATTCTCCGTGCGTTCGCAGCACTCCATGAGGAACGGCTTGCCCGACTGCGCAAAGTACGTCAGCAAGTCCAAGTCGAGCGTCGCGCCCAGATTGTCCGAGTTGGACACAAACATGTACTTGACGCCGTCTGCGACAAGCTTGTCGAGCTTGCCCGAGCCAGCGAGCGACGCGTACAAGTCGCCGTGTCCAGGTGGGCACCACTCTTTCGACGGGTTCGACGAGTACACAGCTGGCTCCATGTTGGACGCATCCACTTTTGGCACCTTGTTCTGGAGTAGCTCCAACGTCTCGTCCTCGACGAGCTCCGGGTACTTCTGCAGGTACTCGAGCGTGTCGGCACTCGTGCTGAAGCTGTTCATGAGCACGAAGCGCACGTGCGACTTGTGCGCGCTCCGCAGCTCCGTCACCTGCTTCGCCATAATGTCGAGGAACGTGTCGTCGCCCTTGACCGTGAGCAGCGACTTGGCCTTGTCCAGCCCCATGCTGGTGCCGAGCCCGCCGTTCAGCTTGAGCACGACCGTCTCTTTCAGCAGCGCTGGGTCCGCCTTGATCGACTCGCGGATGCTCCCGGCCTTGTTCTCAAGGTACGGCAGGTCGTCCACGGACTTGATCGAGGCTTCGGTGATCATGCCCGTCTCGCCGCTCACGAGCGCCTCGTACGAGTACTCGAACGCCTTGATGGCCTCGGTGGATAGACCGGCTGCCTGCATCTTGGCTCGGAAGACGTCGAACTGCGGCATGGTGGTGGTGGTGGTGGAGGAGTTACTGGGGGTAGACCGGGGACCGCGCCGCGCTGGGACTGGCACTTTCCAACCGAAGATCTTCGTCTTTGCTCAACGTTCCAAAAGAGGAAATGAATGAGCTTTGGGTGCAGACTGACGTCGAGGGGGAAAGATCGCGGGTGCGTGTGAGCGGCTCCCCCGCTCTAGTAACTCACTTGGGCAATGTAGGGCGAAACCCAGATATGGCGAGTGGCGACTAGGGGTGTTGAAACTCGATTGAGTGACGGATCGAAAGCACGTGTTGCTGCTGTTCGATGATGGTGAGGGTTGTTGCTATTGTTGTTGTTGTTGCATGTAAAGTCTCAGACGAGTCGATCGACGCGGGTTGAAAGCGAAAAACCGCTGCACAATAGTGGCGAGTCCTAAGCCTTCGGGTTTTCAAGCCTTCATGGAGAGCTAGCTCCACGACGTCGTCGTCATGGGTGTCGCACCAGAGGGTATTCACGACAAGGGTACAGGTTGTAACGTCGCATTGCGCCCATCCTTTTGACTGTGCTTTTGACTGCGCAAATTACGTGCGGAAATCAGGGCAAATTTTTGTTCACTGAGACAACGGGCAATGTGCCTGCAAAAACGGTCGTCGTCGCGACTCTGCAAATGCAAAGGCCACGTGGATTCGTTTGCACGGTACTTTGCCGCTCTGGCGCAAGAAACGTCGTTGCGAGGTGGAAAGCGGTTATGTGCCAGCGGTCGAGTCGAGTCGACTCAACTTCAAGAGTTCGATGCATGTTGCATGTTGGTGCTGTCGGGAAACACACATGCCCTCCTTTTCTAGCTGCTATTCTTCGTTGCTGATGCAATGGGACGTGAGTGCGTACAGGTTCTCGCGCATTGCATTTACAGCGGTAGTCAATCGCTGCATTGCGCCACTGTAATCGTACACTACGAACTGAGTAGATGCGAGCGTGCCGGACACGATTGTATACGAACGATCAGCGGCAGAATGAAGCAGCAGTGATGCTGTAATTATGACCGCGCGATCTTGGTTCCAATACAATACCGATCTGCAGTCTTGCTGTGGTACGTAAGCCTCCATCTGATCCACTTGAAGGAACATCCCACCGTCAAGGTCATGCTTGGTCTCAGCTACTGTAGATCAAAACTAATTTACCCCGACGGCTTTTACAACGGAGCGGAGTTTTGGTCCAACATGAGTTGGGCGTCAAGACTGAGACGGTGAAGGAGGCGTGTCGTGTTTTGTTACGCTAGTCACCATCATCGCATGATCGACTAAGATTGCAGCACTTCCCGCACTTACTCTGTGTTCATCTCTTCGTATCTTGAGTTCCAACCTGCACAGGATCACGCCGTACGTAAAAAATAGCGCAGCAGAACACTGACCCGAGTTTTTCATCCTGCGATGCCGGCCAGCCACCACGTGAAGTCGTTCGTACACAACTAACAAGACCAATATGAACAACATGATGCGTCTCGTTTGCGGTAGACACACACGCACGTGTATGTGTGAGTATCTACCGCAAAACCTTTTCAACGCCTTGTAATCATCGCAAGCACCATGATCAAAACAAAGAGTCCAAACAAAGAAGCACCTTGATCAAATCAAAGAGTCCATCAATCTCGACCTCGCTCCCTGAACCTCCAGAACAGCATACCCCTCGCGCGAGTGACGCGTCGTCGTCGTCTCCTTCCACCAGAACCAAACGCCTCGGGCCGTCGCGTCCCCGCCATGACCAAGCGCGCGCACTCCACGATCTCGTCCGGCGGCGTGCTCGACAGCATGCTGAGCTCTCTCTCCCGCACGAACGAGTCCACGTTCACCGCCAAGAAAGCCGAAGCGCAGGTCGCGAAGCTCACGGCCGGTCGCGGCCACACGATCGCAGTCGACGACTGCTCGGTAGCTCCGGACACGGCGATCGCTCAGTTCCTGCAGGACATGCGCGCGGTCATTGACGACAAAGGCTTTGGGGCGAACGTGGAGGTGGAGCTGCGACTTGGCCGCATCACGTCGTGCCTGCAGGAGGCGAGATGTCGCCCCTCCCAGGAAGGAGTCGACGCGGCGATTGTGCTCTCGGAGACGCAGATGAAGACTGCAGGTGCCAAGTTTGCGCCCGGTGTGGACGAGACGGACTACAAGGGCTTCGTGCGCGGTGTTGAGGGGATGCTGCGTGGAGACGCGTATTCCGAGCACAAGGAGAAGCAGGTCGTGCACAGTATGGCCCAGTCAAAGCGCGTGGTGCAGGACGTGGACCCTGAGACGAACTTGAGAGGCAAATCGATGGTGCAAGTGAAAGAGCGGCTTGGCTCGATTGATATCTTCATGCCACATTGTCAGTACGACTGTCGCGTGTCGATCTCGTGCGAATTTCCGCTGCGCGAGCTCGATGGAGACATGAGCGAGATGCCTGCAGCTGAGAACATCCGACACAAAGATCGTGTATCAGCTGTGGGACGGGACTTGCGTGTGGATCTTACGAAAGTGCTGGAAGAGAGCACGAACAAGCGGCTATTTGAGGTGGAGGTGGAGCTATGTGAGCCAGCGGTGAATGGATGGTTGAGTCAACCTGATGAAAATGGACAGAGCTGGAAAAGCGCGATTGAAACGTCGTCGTTGCTGTGGAAAATGGTAAAATACTTTATGCCGAATTCAGGCCAGGCGTTCAAGCGGAATTGGGACTTTCCGGGTGCGACTGAGGTGCAGAATGCTTATCAAGGTCGGCTGGGTGTTCGGGGAAAGTTCAGCGGTACCATGCCCGTGGGCTTTGCGCGCTGGCATATCCCGCTAGTGCAAAGTCGCGAGTACTTCGTCTCGGAGAAAACGGACGGCGTTCGCTACTTTCTAGTGGTGGCTGGCGGTACCACGGTGTTGGTAGATCGCTCGAACTCGCCTTTTACGGCCTCCGGGTTGGATTTGCTGAAGCTGGTGTTGCCCGAAGGCACAGTGCTCGACGGCGAGCTTGTGGTGAGTGACTAGACTTGACAAAGCCGGGTGCATTGCTGCAGAAGCTGTTTGACAACGATGCTGACCTTTTCATACTGTTGACTTGCAGTTCCACCAGAAAGACAAACGGTACGTGTTTATTGCGTTCGACATTATCGCGACGGGTCCGTCAGCAGAAGACTCGCATGTCGACAAGCCATTTGTGGAGCGTCTTCGGATATTGAACGATTTTCTGTCTGAAGAGTACGTCTTTGTGCAGCAAGTTCTTGTGTTCGCTGTGCGATAGCTAAATTGTGTCTCATTGTTTCCGTTTCGTGTAACTTGTAGTGGTCCGTACGCTTTGGGCATCCGTGATTTGGACATCAATCGCCACGCTATCATGCTTATCCTGCGCAAGAAATGGGTGCCGCATCGCCACATCATGGACGTGTTTCGCCAGATCCAGCGTGTGCAGAAGCGTGATCACAGTCTCGGTCGTATCTACAGTGACGACAAACGTGTGCATTACACGGACGGAGTAGTGTTTTGCCCCAACACGAAGTACGTGACGAACACACACCAAGAATATCTCAAGTGGAAGTGGTCGGATCTGATCACGATCGACTTCATGGCTACGCTGAACCAGGCAGGCGATGGTGTGCAGTTATCTTGCGGTGGTCCCCGGAATTCTTTCGTTGAGCTGGATTCCGTCGTACGCTTGGACCCAAAGGATGTGCCTGTAGTGCTCAAACTTGTCGCGCGAATGCCCAACCGCCAAGCCGTGCTGGAATTCGGCTTCAACGCCGACAAGGGACTGTGGAATTTCAAGTGCGCTCGCCCGGACAAAGACTGCGCCAACTACATTCGCACTGTTCTCGGCTCGCTTGTGAATATGGCCGAAGGCATTTCGGAGGAGGAGCTGCAATACCGACTCACGAACCCGAATGGTCAGGAATGGAATAACCACATGAAGCGCTTGCGTCGCTCGCTGTTGGAACAACAGCCCAAGTGAGACTTACAGTTATGACATGTAGAACAGATGAACGTATAGCCAGTCAGCCGACCGACGATAGAGCGATTGCGTGCTTGGCGTCTGGCGGAAGCGATCCGAGATCAAATAATAAAGCCAACAGGGATCCGAAAGCAAATCTTACTTTACATGTATGGAAAGTATCTATGCGCTTTCTCTGCTGCTGCTGCGAAACATACGGTCCGTGCTGCCACGTAGAAAGCCAGCGAGAGAGAAGCCGAATGAGCAGCTCAACTTCACGAGTGCTCGGCCATTCAAATCCTTCTGTTCGTATCCACCACCCACACGACACGTGCAATTTCCCGGCACTTCAGTATCTTTTCCGTCTAATATTGCTCAAATCAGGACTTGATCCTTCCGATCACATCAGAGCTGCCACGGGAACTCTTAACAAACAGCAGAGACACCAGTCACGTCTCGTACGAATTTATGCAGTTCTTAACAGTCCACAAGAGCTCCAATGCGATCCTTTCAGCATATGCTCAAAGCACACTTCGCCACAGCTTGTTAAGTAAATGCATACACGCTTGATTGTTGGTCACCCACACAATAAACTAGAGCACAAAACACAATCACAACACGCAAAAGTTAGCACCGATCCCGTCTCCGTACCATCACATAGGACTCCTTCATCCTGAATCGAGCAAGTTCATGCCACGAACCTTGGCGCGCTGGGTGGGAGTGAGAATATTCTGTAGCTTGTCCATCTCCATGTCTAGGGTGGAGTTTTTGTTGGTCACTTCCGTCTTGAGCTCCGCCAGCAGACCCAGCGCACTCTTGAGGTTCTCGCAGATCAACGAGATCGACCCCCTTTGCTGCTGGATCTTCTTCTTCTGGTCCTCGCTCAATCCTAGCTCCTTGGCCAAAATCACGGGTAAACTAGTCTCATCTTCCTCGTCTTGCCAAAAGCTGTCGTCTTGACGCAGCGCCCAGATACACATTTTCGTCACCTGCGTCGGCAAGAGCAACCGCTCAATCTGATGCAGATGGTAGCTCAGCGCCGACCGGCGTCCGTGGCCATAGTCCGAGTACTGTTCTTTAAAATTGTCAATCTTCTCGGCCAGTTCCTTCTCCGAAGCCCCGAGTTGAATCATCTTCTCGAGCTCCTCGCACACGCGGTTCTTTTCCTTCTCCTCCTGTCGAATCGCCTCTTTCCCAGCCTTGAGCTGTCCGCGCAGCTCCATGTTCTCGCGCTCGAGCTGCCGACAGCGCTCCTCAACGCCCAGAATGTGCTCTCGTTTCCGACGTCGGCACTCACGCGCGGACTCGCGATTGCGCTCGAGCTTCAGCTTGCGCTGCAACGTCGTCACGTCACTCGAACTATTGTCGCTGCCACTACTGGACGTCGACGTCTTGTCAGGCACCGACTTGGGACCTGCATCCTTGTGCCCTGCTTCTTGCCGCTTCTGCACGAGCGCGTTGTTCGCGCTCTCCAAGTGACGCAGGAGCCCCTCGGTATTGGTCAAGCTCTTGGCTTGCAGGTCCTTGGCCACGGTCGCTGCTGCGTCCCCGACGACCGACCGTTTCTTGCCCCGTTTGGTCGGAAGCGGCTTCGTAGGCGCTGACATGGTCAGTGGCGCTGTTGCCGTGGTCACGGGCGTCACCGCTGCGAACAGCTCGGCTGTTGACGCGCCTGTCTGCTGCTGCTGCTGCTGCCCAAGGGAGAGACTCGGGTCGTCGCCGGACAAGAGCAGACGGAAGGGGTCGTCCCCTAGACCCATGGCCGTGGGCGCGTGGTCGGCAGCTGCGAGGCCGCTGCTCGTCACGGCCGCCATGTTCTCCGAGTTGAAGAGCAGCCACGAGAACATGTCGCGCGAGGTGGCGCCGATGAACTCCATGTCCGGGACGTCGCCGGCGTCGGTGGCGACGGCTTGCGGCGTGGGGGGCAGCAGCGAGGAGGCATCACTGGCTTTCATGGGGAAGCGGGACTGAGGGCCAAGGGGTGGTGACGCGGCGTGCTCACGAAAAGGGTTCGTGCAAGCAAAGCGTTTCGCAGTCTGGATGATGACGGCAGCCCGTTTGTATGGCTGACTCAGTGATTTTTGTGCGTCTGTCTGTTTGTCTGGTCGGTGCGTGTGTCTGCTAGCTACGGGGATAGGGGGAGTCGGTGGCTGGCGGGGGCGTTCGGGAGGAACAAGTGTACACGCGGGCAAGGACTCCCACCTGGGTTTAGTATGCGTGAGATGTAGTGATGGCGTGACAATGGCGACGTGGGGGGATCGGGTGTCGCACCGTATCTCTCCTCCTAAGTCCGATTCGAATTCAGCACGCGAGCTGGCGGCTTCGCTCCCAGTAGCTGGGCGGCTCGACTGAGCGACTGCAGTTTGGTTCGGTACCACTGTAGGCCCCAAAAGCTGGAGCTCCTTCTCTGTATGATAATGAGGACTTTCCCGATTTCGATGGAAAAAGGAATGAAAGGGCCACAGTGCGCAAAGAAGGCGGACGCCCGTATTGGGCCATCGCGCGGTCTTCAACTCAGGCTGAGCCACTCACGGCGACGAATCCGCACCTGGCGACGAGGTTCTGCGTCAAACAGTGCGGGCTCTCTCGCAGTCAAAGGCGGAACAGACCCCGTCGCAGGTCTATAGGAACGCTGCTGCTGCTGCTGCTCTTTCTGCCAGTGCGACCAGAATTGATCACCGAGGTGGCCAAGCTTCCTCCGTGATGTAGCGAGTTCGTTTATTATAGCGCCACGCTGCTCGACCCCGTGATGAAGCGGTACTATGCAGCCGGGTGAGTTGAAGTCGTGGGACGCTTCCACCTGACAGGTTCGACACTGGAGTTGGATACGTGCGCGAAATGCGGTTGATGTCTCACGTAGTCGAAGCTAGAGATGGAGAGGCACCGCCCACCCGACGATGCGGTCGCCCTGATCGATCACGTGACTAGTAACACTACTACAAATGGCTTGGAACGACCTCTACATGTGTGCGAAAGCTACTCCGACCGACTGCTGCTCCTGTCCTGAGATCCTGAGATAGGGCCTTGCTTGTGCTCAATGAACTCTCTCCATCCAGATCGCGAGTGTGCCTGATCAACTACATGAGGGTGATGACGAGCACCGCAGTTGTAAGGAGTGGATTACCACCAAAAAGGGAGGAGCTATGATCGCACGCACGTTATGCAGGCTCTCGTCATACGGTCATACGGTCCGTCAGTCGGTCGTCGTAACCGGATGGCGTCCCTGACGAGGTGCGATCGTTCGTCTCTCTTCTCACTTGTATGGCTTACAAACGAGAGGACAATCGCTCGTCCGGGCAACTGCGTACTTAGCGCGATGAACAGGTGACCCGGTTCTACACGCAGCTGAACCGACTGCTGAAGTCGCGCGAAGGTCGCTGCATCGGTCGGTCGTGACGCATACAATTATCAACACAGCTCGCCGGTCGGTCGATCAGGTTGCAGGTATAAGAACGTGCGACCTGTCGTCAGATTGCAAGCACGTTGTTCGGCTGCGGGGTGGATGATTGGTGCAGTCCACATTTCTGGCGCGCATAGGAAAGGCGAAGCAGGTGCGTACGGACGCCCACAACAGGGCGCAGAGACTTGGACTCACTCTCGCGTCCCTTTTCCCCCCTCGCTCGACGTGTCCAGCGTCCCATTGTGCGTTTGTTTTCGCTGAGGCCGTTCACTCATTCGCGTTTTCGTCCATCGGCACAGGTCTCCCGTCCGATACATCCCCCCCCTCTCTCTCTCTCTCTCCTCTCTCTCTCTCCCTCGTGCGACTGCTAGGCGACGAGCATGGGCAACAAAGGATCCAAGGGCTCCAAGAGTCTCCGCCCGCCCATCAAGAGCGACTCGCGCGGCTTCAAGTTCAGCAATTACGCCAATGGTGGTCGCGACGCTGGGAAGAGCGCCCCAGCGGCTCCGTCGTATCCTTCGGCTGGCCCCTCGTCGGCTTCAGGGCAGACGCCGGGCCAGCAGCAGCAGCAACAGCAGCAGCAGAATGAGGACGAGTGTACGTGCTGTCTTTTGTGTGGACTAAACTGGCTCTTTTGGAGCAATGGGGGGCAATTACTAGCACTTGATGCTGACGGTCTCTCGTGTGTTTTTTGTCTGCTGCTTTGTTTCTCTCCGCTTGCTTCCCCTCTTGCTGTTGTGACGGACTTGCAGCCGATCTAGAAGACGACGACTCTGGTCCTGTCGAGCAGGTGGCGATTGAAGATATGGACGGCCCCGCTCGACCGCAGACCAAGGTGAACGTGGAAGACTTTGACCTGCTCAAGGTGCTGGGTAAGGGCAGCTTTGGCAAGGTCATGATGGTGCGCAAGAAGGACACCAAGATGATCTACGCCATGAAGACGCTGCGCAAAGCGGCGCTCGTCAAGCGTAACCAGCTGCTGCACACCAAGACGGAGCGCAGTATTCTGCAGAGCATCAAACACCCGTACTTGACGAGTCTGACGTACGCGTTCCAGACGCCTGACAAGCTCTACCTCGTTATGGACTATTGTGGCGGTGGCGAGCTCTTCTTTTGGCTCAAGAAAGATCGTCGGTTTTCGCAACAGAAAGCACGTCTATTTGCCGCTGAGATCATCCTCGCTCTCCATGAGCTGCACAAGCACGACATCATTTACCGTGACTTGAAGCCGGAGAACATCCTGCTGGACTTGGAAGGCCACATCCGCTTAACGGACTTTGGTCTGTCGAAGGAGGCGGTCACAGGCGCTGGCGCAACAGGTGGCACCAAGACGTTCTGCGGTACGCCCGAGTACCTGGCCCCAGAGATTCTAGAGAACAAGGGCCACGGCAAGGCTGTGGACTGGTGGAGTCTCGGAACGCTGATTTACGAGATGCTCACGGGTCTCCCACCCTTCTACGACCAGAACATGCAGCGCATGTACGACAAGATCCTGAATGCGCCGCTGCGCTTTCCTTCGTTCATGTCAGCGGAGGCGAAAGATCTGTTGACTGGTCTGCTGACGCGTAAGGTGGCGGACCGCCTTGGTAGCGGCCCCACGGACGCTGAGGAGATCAAGGCGCACCCGTTCTTCAAGGGCATCGACTGGGAAGCTGTGTTACGCAAGGAGGTGCAGCCGGAGTTCAAGCCGCCCAACCGGTTGGGCTCTATGGACACGAGCAACTTTGACGTCGAGTTTACCGCTGAGAAACCTGTGGATTCCGTCGTGACGACGACGATGAGCGAGACCCAGCGCAACAAGGCGCAGTTTCCTGGCTTTACGTACAATGCGGATACTATCGACGAAGACCACAAAGGCAACTAGGCTTGCGGACCATTGCGAGCTCCTTTATCACTCGGCACGTTAGCGAAGAGAGATCGGAACCGAAGCAACGAAGAGACTTGGCGGGAGCAGATGCATGAGCAGCGTTTCAGCTTCAAGTGACTGCATTCTGCTCTGCGAGCAGTAAACGAGCGTCGAGGCATGTTTCATTTCTGTAGTGTGTGGCGTCACCTCCTGACACCTCTTCCATTCGCGTCCATGCAAGGCGATGGAGGAGTCGGTTAAGAAGATTCCACGGAAAATCAATCGATGAATGAATAGTCCGACCCGCGTTGTTCCTTTGCCTAAACTGTCTGCGTGCTATGGCTTGATCGAGGTCATCACTGCGTCCAGACCTGGTCTCCATTCAAGTGAGAGCATCACCGAGTTACGGTCGGCGGTTTTTCTTCTTGCCGCCCGAGTTCATGTGAACACCAGAGCCACCACCCGGCAGATCCGAGTCTTCGTACGGGTTTTTATCGCGTCCCTTGCGTCCTTTGCGGCCGTGTTTCTTCAGCCGCTTACTCACAACGGACTTGTCTTCGGCAATCGTGTCAAAATCCAGATCCTCCTTTCCATCCGTTGACTCGGTCGATGGACTAATCTCCTCATCAACGCCGTCTTCAGTGATCTCTTCGACGGGAAGCTCGGTGAGGTCGGGAAACTGAGCCTCAGCGAGCACGTGGATGTCGAAGGTGGAGGGATCCGATACATTCGGCGGAGGATGGCAGTACAGCAGTCGACCATTGACATAGTGTCGCAAGATGTCGCGTGCTGCGCGCGAGGTGTCGGGTCCTCCTTTACCCGTTGTCGTGTAGCCACGGTTGCGGGCGTAAGACTAGCACGAACAGAGATGAGATGTGCCAGCCAATTGCCCAATAAGTTGGGCATTGTACGCACCTCGAGGAGTGCATAAATGCCAACGGGATCCGTCTCCTTCGCTGTCTTGGACGTAGGGATCTTGATTCCGTACGTTCGTTCCAACACTCGCTTCGGGATCCGGTGGCACAAGAGTTGGCACGGCGCTGAGCAGTTGCAAACGATTCGAGCAGACTTGTCAGACTATTCGCAGCAGCATTTACCATTAACGAGCGACAAAGCCGTTGACGTACAGACGTGATCACGAAGCTGCGAGAGAGGCAGCACGCCACAACAGCACATCTCAGCCTTCGAGTTGACGAAGCTTGGAAAGACGAGACCGGGGCAATCACACAGCATGATTTTGTCGGACAGAATCATGGTCTACGGATTGGAGGTGATGCAACACGCGCGTCAGAACCTCGAAGCTTGACATCCAGTCAGTCATACGTGATCCATACCTGAAAGTGTTTCGTCTTGCCAGGAGTAGCACCGACAGCAACACGCTGAGTTTTGTGCGAATAAGTCGACGCACCCAGCAGTGCGTTGATCACCGAGCTCTTTCCGACATTGGGAAAGCCCACCATACCAAACTTGATCAAACCCTTGTCCTTTACTCGCACACCCACCTCGTCCAGCACCTCGGTAGCAATATGGGTCACGTACTCTAGCAGATCAACACGCGATAGCACAGGATACGGGCTAGTCTCCTCATCATCGACAACCTTGTCTTCTGCAGCATGTGGTGCCTCTGCAGGTACCACTTGGTCTTGGTCGTATTCATTGTGACTCTCAGCATTTCTCTCACTCTGTCGCAAGCTCTTCGCCTCCTCATCGATTTCATCCTGAGCCTTCTTGGCCGAGAAGAACACAAAGCTGATGTTTTCTGCGGTGAAGTAATCTCCCCAGGTGGTCCTACAGACTCATAGACCATCATGTCAACAGTGACACGACAATGTGTGAGATCATGCATTGTACACATGAGACTAGCATGACCTACCGTTGACGGTCGTTCAGGAAATCTGACTTGTTTACAATCAACAGAGTGCGTCGAGAAGTCTCGCCTTCCTTTGCGTATGCATCGAGATCCGTCGATCTACCAAATAGCGAGCAGCCACTCCATAATTAGCCACACGGCAACGGAGCGTGCAGTTTGCGTACGGGCCGTACCGGTAAAACAGCGGGTTGCGAGCGTCCACGATCTGCACTATGACATCACTCCGCTCGCGGACATGCCACAGTTGACGCCACACCTCCAAGTTCTTTTCAAACGGAGTTACCTCCAGATGGTCCGACGAAGCCTCCAATCTACTCGAAATTGAAGTAGTCAGTGCTGCACGTCCCTCCCCCTCATCATTATAACTTCATCCACCACTCACAAGGCAATATCACGACGCCACTCAAGAAAACTCTCCTTCTCCAAGCGATTGAGCTCCTCAGCCGTCGTCGATGCGTCCCACTTGGGCCGTCGCGGCACCTTCATCTCTGTAAACGTCATTTCCGGCACCACGGTCTTCTGTCTCCTAGTACCAATGCCATTCAATCAGGTATCATACCCCACATAAGTTGCGCGCCGTTCGCAAACATACTCCACCAGCTGCAGCCCCGTGTCTGCCTCGTCCATGAGCACAATGCTCTCCTTCACGGCCGTGAACTCGCGGTTGGACAGCACCGCACTAGCCAGGAAATCGTCCTGATGCAACAGTCAACACAGCACCAAAACGTCACAGCCCCGTCGTCCGCTATCTGCCCTCACGACCGCTAATGGGACTGCTCTATAATAGCGCACCAATGACGAGCCTTCGAGGTACGAGGCCAGCGCCACAGACGCGTCGCCGCCATCGCGCTCGGACACGTGCTTGCCAGCACTGGAAGTCACGTCCTTGACGTTGATAGCCGACGTCTTCTTCTGCGTGCGCACGAGGGCGTTGCCCAGTCCGCCCTTCTTGACCTTGGCCCCGGTACGACCCATTGGTTCCCTGCGGTTTCGTAGCTTCTGAGCCCAACCACGGGCCCAGGTGCTCAAGAGTGGTCCACATTGCTAGGTCGGTGCTCTTTTTATGTACGACTGGACGACAGCAGCGAACGGTGACGCATCCGACGTGGCGGTGACGCGCCGGGAAAGGTCGTCACGCGCGTGCAGAGCCGGTCCAGCCAACGACCCTGGGTCGTATTTGTACGACCACATTTCCCAAAGTGTCGCACTCACGCTCAAGTCACATGTGTCCAGTCCTTCATTTCGGGCGCCCACCTTCGGCGGGACTTCTCCCTTGCGAAGGCCGAAGTTGGAAGGGTCTGCCTCAGGCTACACGTGCACAGCTACGAGACGACTAAGCTTTGAGTCTCATTTGCTACCGACTAGAAGTGCAGACTGAGTGCGATCTGTTGCGTCTGTGCTGCTGGATGTCTCGTCTGTTAACACCACCAGCGTGAGCGGGGCCGTTCAGCCCAGAGATGTAGTCGAATAGCATTTGTAAAAGATTGAGATGACGCATGTCAAATGTGGTACAGTGAGTGGGCTATCGAGTTGGGCCATGCACAAGTCGATTGGACAGTTGTTCCTGTCTTTGACCCGAAGTGCACTCGTTGAAAATAAATACTCATAGCAGAGCAGCACTATCCTTCCATCTCGACCTCAGTCAGCGGTACCTGAGCGGCCTGCGCGTACAAGAGCATGCATGTGAGTCACAACGATGCCACCGAACACGCGATTAACGCACACACCTCCAAAATTCGCTCGATTGGGACACCGCCAGACCGCGCATTGTACTGGAACAAAATCTTTGTCCAGCTGTCTGGCAGGGCCCTCTGCGGCGAGCATCGTTTTACAAACGTCAGGCCGATCAAACGCGGAGCTTCGCTTTCGTCGACTTCATGCTGCTCAAACGAAAAGCTTGCAAGATCGCCATCGCTCAACTGTGAACGGAAAGAAGATACATCATGAGTTACTACATTGCAAGCACGTCAATGCCGAGGCGATCGGCAAAGTACGTAAACATCAAACCTCGTGCTGCCGGACGAGATCTTCTTCAGCTGTGAAAAGGACGATACCCTCTAGCGTCGCAAACTCTTTTTCACCTTGAAGACGAAGGATGATGGACGGTGTCGCTGAGTAGACAAAGAAGCGACTTGTATTCCTATCTTTCCACACCAACGCCAACGGTGACAGCCCCATTTCATAATGGCCTGCTTTCATGTAGAAAAGAAGTCCATCTCTGCATCGTCATAACGCACACACATACATAGACAAAGCAAGGCACCAGAGAATGACATAATTGACTGCAAACGCACTTCCACCTCAAATCTTTACGTACTTGAGAAACGGATATGTCGTCGAATACGCCGTCATGATTCCTGTCGAGTCGCTCTCGTAGCACGGAACAGGCTGTACATCACAAATTAGAGAGCGCTCCCGACAAACTCGTCATTGAAAGCTTTACACCGGCACTACGGTCTTACCAGAAACCGAAATGGATTCGCCGACGCAACCGTCGCTGTCGCTCCTTCCGACAGTTTGTCCCGCATCCAATAGAGGCGAAACTCGGTCGTGCAATTATACAGCAAATACCCCTTCCAGCACATGACGTCCAGCACATAAAACGTCTCGGTCTGCTCTTGATAGATGCAGTCCAAGATGCAATAGCCGTCACTTGACTTGTTCGTCTTGTGCGACCCATTCGGCAGTGCCGATGGAAACTTCTTCAGCACGTTGCCCGACGGAATCCGAGCAATCGTCATGCCTCTACACGCACATACAAGCAATCAGTCAGTCAGTCCGTCATTTAATCACATTGTCAAAAATGTCATCAATCGTCAAAAATGCATTTCGACTAGTGTCGAAATTGACCGCATGGCGTACCCATTCGTGATCACTAAACAGCGCTTCCCCTCGGGCCTCGGCAGCACGTACCAGCCCTCGCCCAACACACTGTTGCTGCCATTCAAGTCCTTAGGCACGTCAATAAGCCACTCGGGCGTCATCAATTGCCGGGAAAAGTGCTCCCGTCGCTGCTTCATGCGCTCCTCGCGGGTCTTGCGCTTGCTCGGGGCAGAAGCCGCACACGCGACGTCCTCATTCGCTTGTTGCGTGTCGGTAGGAGACAACGGAGGCTCTTGGGTCTGTGCCAGCTGTCTCGCATGCGCCGTGAGGTCTCGTCTGGATTGACGCTGCTGTACTAACGTCGCGTGGCGTCGCGCCGCCGCGTCTTTGATCCACTGCTGCCGTTTGATGGCCGTGCGTGGCGGCATCCGTTTTATTGTCAAAAAGTGAGACTGTAGCCATGTCAAAAAGCACTGTGTCCAAAAGCCGGCACTCGTTTTTCGTCGACAAGGTGTCTGAAATATCGGCCAGAGGTCTTCAATGATGTACGATCAGTGGGTCAGTCGTTGGGCTTCAGAAACCGGTACGACAAAAGCATCGGTCGGACCATATTCGATCTCACGGGCTCTCTTTCCGATCATATTCACAAATAGATGCGTCATTATCCCACTCAGAAGCCACGACTTCCCTCATATCCCCGTCACAACCGCCACTTCCAAAGCTCCAGCGAGCCTCGTACCCCATCCCACTCATGAGCTCCTCGACCTCCGTCGAGCTGCCGCGCGAAGGCGAGTACCGCGTCGAAGTGCCGCCTCACACCGAGGTAGCCATCCGACTCAAGAGCGGGTCCGCCGAGCTCTTCGGCGTCGAGCTCGCCATGGACCGCGAGTACACGTTTCGAGACCGGAAGCTCGCGATCTTTACGTGGTACGGGTGCGCTCTGGAGGTACGTGGAGCGCCGGAGGTGGCCTACACGTCCGAAGAGACGCCGATGGACAGCTACCTCAACATCCACTCGCAGCTCCAGCGGCGCAGGGAACTGGCCAAGGTCAAGAAGGCCGCTGGACCGCGCGTGCTCGTCTGCGGGCCCGTGGACAGCGGCAAGTCGACGCTCACGCAGATCCTTGTGAACTACGCGCTGCGGCTAGGCGAGAAGCCGACACTGGTAGAGCTGGACGCCGGTCATGGCTGTCTCAGTGTCCCCGGCACGCTCTCGGCCTCGCCGCTCGATATGAACTCGCTCAGTGTCGAGGAGGACTTTGTCCTGACGAACCCACTCGCGTACTTCTATGGCCACGCCGCGGCGTCGGAGAACGTCGAGCTCTTTCGTCACCAGCAGCAACAGCTGGCAAGGACAGTCAAGCGACGACTGGAGAAAGATGAAGAGGTGAACGCGTCCGGGTGTGTGATCAACACGTGTGGGTGGGTGGACGGAATGGGCTTTGACCTGCTGGTAGACGCGATCAACGACTTTGACGTCGATGTCGTGCTGGTCATTGGACAGGATCGACTCTACAGCCGCTTGCAGAGTACACTCACAGGAGCGCCATCGACGGGTGTGGACCGATCGATTGTAAAGCTAACGCGATCGGACGGGGTTGTGCCCATGAACAGTAAACTGCGCTCGGCTGCGCGCATTAGCTGCATCCGGGAGTACTTTTACGGCGTGCACTCGCTGAGTGTTGCGATTCCCACGCTGTCGCCTTGTATCAATGAGGTCTCGTTCGACGACGTTTCGTTCTTCACGATCAAAGGTGCGTTGTCGTGTTTACAGTCGGTCGATTACGGCGAAGGTGACATTCTGCGGTACTTGTTTGCGATGCCTTGCTGGATGCAGACATGAAGGTGTCTGCCGTGATGCTCCCGGTGGGTCAGGTGGAGACGCAGGCCGACCGATTGCGTGCAATACCTGTCGAAAAGACAGCGGACCTGGGACACTCACTGGCAGCCGTCGTCCACCCGCGGTACGGCCAGAATGTGTCCCCTTCGTCGTCAACGGATCCGTCGCTACTTCTTGAAGCCCCTGCAGCAGGCTTTGTTTTCATGTACGTGTGCATGGCTTGCTTGCGATTTACTGTTGTGCCGCAGCTCTTGCTAACCTTTTCATGTGTGCACAGTAAGGAGGTTCGGATGGTAGATCAGATACTAGTGCTGCTTGTTCCTTCGCCAGGTCCGCTACCATCACGTAACCTGTTGGTAGGCTCAATCAAGTGGATGGAGTAAAGCTGAGTGTCAACCAGTTCTGGCTTCTAGTGCCATCACCAACTTGTACGACTAGTCCTCTGCGGGGACTTTGGTAAGCACATGGATAGACAACAGCTTTTAGTGCAGACGAGTACGATTACGGGATAGAGAATTTTTGTGTCCATGCAGATATTTGCAATCGACATGGCCGTCTTGTCAACAAGCAGCCAGCACCTGTGAACTCGTCCCCGGCAATGCGTACACCAAGTTTAAAGACCCCAGCCTTTATCAGGTCGGTTCTGGCGGTACCATTGTCCACCGCCCACGTCGAGCGCACGGTCAAACTCTCCAGCACTGGCGACAATCTTGACGACTTGCTTGTACAGTTCCACGTTAATCTCGGCGTCAAGCTTGCCAGTCGATTCGTCAAACATCGTGACTGCCGCACGCCAGTCGCCCTCGCGCTCGCATGATGAAATGGCCAACACGAGTAATTCCGTTCGAACAGCCATCGACATCGGAGCTGGCAGCCCATCGTAAATGGCAAGCACTGTTTCGTGATCCTGTAAGTGCACGGCCGCACGCATCGTCAAGACGTAGATCGCGTCCGCTGGATAATGCAGCAGTGGGTTCTGCCCTTTCGATGAAGCCCCGCGAGTTTCCAGGTACAGATCAAACATTGCAATCACATCCGAATGGCGATCGTGCTTCGCCAGATACATCATGAGTACTGTGAACGAAAAGGTAGACGCCATTCCACCCATATCGATCATTTTTTGCAGATAAGCTGACGCATCCGCAAACTTGTCAGCTGCGAGAAACACTTCCAGCATGTGATTGTGCGTAATCGAAGATACTGGATGCCCACGGTCAGCAAACTCGGCCAAGATTGTTCTCGCTAGCTTACCGTCCTTCAGACCTGCACACGCGCGGATCAAAAAGTTGAGAGCCTTGGAGCTCTTCGCGCGACGGCGGCAGAGCTTGTCCTTCATCCACATATCCACGGTAGACTGATAATCCTTTGCAGCGTAATAAACACTCATGAGAGTTTCAAAGTGTGCACGATCAAAAGTGACACACTGTCTACTCTCCAAAGGCTGATCTGAGTCTGCATTCTTGTCCCAATTTGCCTCAGACCAGTAGCGCTCGGCCGATTGAACGTCGCCAGACAGCGCACATCCCTGCAACAGTATATTCAGCGTGTATGCATTCCACTTCAAGCCAGCTTTGCCCATGAGTGACAAGATAAAGGGAAACCTATCCACGTTCCGCGAACGCACAGCAGCACCCAGCAACGAATTGAACGAGACGATATCGGGTGATACGGTAGGGTGATCTCTCATCTCCTCGAAAACTCGCAGCGCATCATCCATTTTGCAAGCATTGCCATGTGCCGAGATCATGCAGTTGTAGGAGTACGTCGAGGGTGTGGCATGGCACTCGACTAGCTTGAGTATGCGACGGAGCTGTGTCAAATTAGAGGTCCGGGCACAGGAACTGAGCGCGGAATTGCAGACGTTGTCACCCGGATAGACACCATCTTCGAGCAACAGCGCAAAAAGCCGAGAAGCGTAGTCATGCTGGTGGTTGCGCGAGCACGAGATAATCGCGCACGTGAACACCTCGGCTTTATGCTCGTCGTCCGCGTACGAAGTAGAGCTCAAGAGCTCGTGGATTTCCTCCCATCTCCCCAGCCGTGCATATGCCAAAACTATTGCACCATATGTGCGTGCATTTGGCTTCACGCCGGCATAGATCATGTCGTTCAGTACGTTCAGCGCTATGGGAACGTCAGATTTGCTACCACGGGCGCACGCATGAATGACGCTAGTAAACGTGATAACATCAGGTTCCAACTGGAAGTGTTTCGTGATCTCCAGCACTCCCTGTGCTACCCGTGCATTGCCAAGCCTGGCACTCGCCGCTGCAATTCGATTCAGACGGTCGCGGTCCGGTCCTTCGATCTGATTGCGCAGCACTTGCAACGCCGACTCGCTTCGGTTCATCTTGATGAGCGCACACACGATCATCACGAGCTCCTGGTCCGACCAGTGGTTGTTGAGAATCGGAAACTCGTCCATAAACTGCAGCAGACAAGCAACACACACCACAACATCGTCAGTATAATTGTTACCCACAGAAACAACAGCCACACACGTGCCATTTCTCCAGCATTTCTACCTTTCGCAGCACCGACGAGACTTTGCTAGAGCTCATTTGCTCTCTCAGCAGCAAACAGAAGGACGTCCGGTCCATGTCCGCCCACCTCTTGCTCTTTCTCCGGTACCGTTTGCCCTTGACTTTGTACCACTGCCACGTCTCAGCGCCACGTCCAGAGAGTTTGGCCGCTTCTGTCTTGTCATTGGCTAATAATGGAGCGCTCATGAGGTTAAAGCTCTTGCTGCTCGTGGCGGTCCTGCTCTCCTCCTTCGCCTGCTCCACACTGTCTCCAGCCGCTCTTCGATTGCTTGTGTTTGTATCCACATAATTCGACGTGCCGCGCATCAGCAGGAGCTGCGGCGGCCGCTGGAACGCCCGCGCACTCGTCACGTGATGCCATAACGACCGACGCATTGGCCAAAGCATTGCACGAAATGTACCCATGTGAGCTTCGGGAGGGGACAAGTGGTGTGGCGCACATCATTTCAGGTCGAGCCTGGACCTGTTCACACCATCCAAACTGCGGCGACGACGAGATGCCGTCGCCTCGCGAGCTGGTGGCTGCGTGCATGGACCACATCGCGCTCGAAGGCGGCGCGGGGGTCTCTGTAGCGGACCTCTTCTCTTCAGTCGATCCGCACAACGACGTGCTCGTTCGGCGCCACGTGTGGCGTCTGCTACGCTCGAATCGGGGCGCCCTGCGCTTCTTTCGAAGCTCCACAGCGTCAGTCAGTCCCGCTATCAGCAAGAAGCGGCCGCGGCCAGGATCTCCCAGTGATATGGACAGTGAAGAGAGGGACTTGGCGATGAAGCGGGAGATGCTGGAGGCGCATCGAGTTGGTGGCGCTGCTGCTACTGCTACTGCTGTTGTTGCGGCAGAAATGGTGCCGGTGGAGCTGTCGGAAGAGGAGCTGGAGCTGCTCACGTACGATAAAGTGGTGCAGGAGCAGCAGCAGAAGAAGAAGGAGCTTATTGTGGCAGCGTGTGAAGAGCTGCGCCATCGAGCGCTCAATATCCCGGTGAAGGCCATTGCTGCTGACCTCGGAGACGCTCATTTCCGGATTCTTGAAGCTGTTGGCCGCGCCCGGGTGCAGGGCGTCACGGTGTCGTCGCTGATTGATCTGTTGCGAGGCGGCAACGTCAAGAGGCTGCACAATTCTCTTGACACGTTGATCTCATACAGTTTGGTCGTCAAGAGGATGATGATCGTCGCGCGTCCAGTGATGCGACGACTGAACATCATCCACTTACCGCGATTTGCAGCCGAGTTCAAGCCGCAGATGTTTGACGAGTCGGCTGATTTTGAGTCGGACGAGCAGAGCAAGAAGATCTTGTGTGCAGCTGCGGAGACGTACTTGAAAGGACTGCCGACGCATTCGTCGGTGCTGTCGGATCTTGGACGGGACCTTAGTTTGCACAAGCGGCACCTGGAGGTGCTGCGCTCACATATTGTGCAGGAATGTAAGGTAGACGAACACTTTCCGCTAGAGTTGTTTCAGGCAGTCTTGCAGCCGACGCGACGTGCGAGTCTCGAAGCTAAAATTTTAAATTGCGTGCGGTACAAGCCTCCAAACACGGAAAAAAACTCGGTCTGCCGTCGAGGTATTGTTTTGGAGCTCGGGTTGCTTCGTCAGATCTATGGCATCATTGAAGACAGCGCCGAAAACGGTGCCACCATTATCGATCTGCGTAATCAAATTGTGCTTCCTGGGAGCAAGTTGCCGTATAAGTTGGTGAGCGTGTTGGCGGGAATGTACAGCTTGAAAGCCGAATCGGTCATTCTGGGGAAAAACAAGGCGTTCCGACTGTACCTGGACACGATGACACCGAATGCGGCTTCATCTTCAGCAGACGTCGCAGACAGTCCATTGGTGTCATCGACCCAGTCGAAAGAAGGTGCGAGTGGGGAAACAGCTGCTAAAGTGAAGGCGGAGGGGGCATACACTGTTCGATCCACTAAGGCGCTAAAAGTGGCTCTTGGAGCGGAAGTGGATGGCACCAGTGCTCGACGTCGTGAGCACATCTTGGGACGGCTCGAGGATGAAAAGATCATCAGTTTGTCGTCATTGTGTGCGAGTGTGTTCAGCATGGAGAAGCAACGCGCGGAAATGAATGTCATATCGAATTCATCCAGCTCAGGTGGCGATCTCACTCTTTTCAATAATGGAAGCAGTCCGATGCTCCCTGCTGCCGTGGGGAAAGTAGATGCTCGATCGATTTTCCGCATTGCAGCTGAACTAGAAACCGCGCAAAAGTTACGACTTTTGCAGCTCCCATTGCCTGCTCGTAACGTGTCAACAAAATTTCGTGCTCTGCGTTGTGTTGTTGCCCCGGGGTATGAGCAGGATGACTTGTTTATTCAAGGTTATGTCAAGAACTACTGTCGTGACGAGCGTTTGCGGCGAATCTACCGGAACACGGATAAAAGTCAAGTTGTTCGTTTCCATGCACATGGAAGCGACAACAGCGATGTGGTGGAGCATAGGCCAGTTCGAAAGAGAAGGAGGCGGCGAACGAAGTCCAAGGTGTCGGATGCAAAGACTGATGAATTCACAATGGAAAGTACAGCTTTGGACGCTGCGCCTGAGAGCAAGGATGCTAGTTCTGGCGCAATTCCTCAGGCTCCTGCCGTCGAATCGAAGGTTTGCAATCTTGCTTCGCCTGAAATTAGCTACAAGATTTGGCGTTTTGTGAGTCAGCAGAAGTCCAGGATTCACAACCAGCAGTACAGGAAGCTCGGGTTTGCATACGGCGTCATGTACCGGTGTAAAGTTCTGCATCGTTTTTTATGGAAAGTTTTGCATGAGAACGGGTCGAGCTTACAGCTTCCGGGTGATGATAGCGATCTGATTAGCCCAGACTTAAGTTTCGAAAGAGATGACGGCCACACGATTGGCGGTCAAAAGCAGCAACAGCAGTCGACACCAGGGATCGTGTTTTCCCGCGAATCGGTGTTGCACTCGATGCCCTTGTATTTATACATTCAAGTTTTCTCGGGTGGGGCGATTTTGACAGGCGCTGAGTTTGCTGTGGTCGAGGAGGCCATTGAGCATCGGCGCACGTTTAAAGCGATTCCGGAGGCACTGCGCAAAAAGATCTGGAGTCATGAATCTCAGCGTACCGCGAAGGTGTTGGGCACTCTGGCCGATCTGGGTCTGGTCTTACCGCACAAGATTGGAATGAAACACCTCGTTTCGATCCTTCGAGCAGGGTACACCGACGGGCGCGACGGTGTGCTTTCTCGTGCGCTGAACGAAAATGCACTTGGTGGACTTTTTCGCTTTAACAAGCAGGCTCGGATTCTTTTAGACGAAGACAGCAGGAATGATGGCTTCGTATTTACTGATGGCCGGTTGGGCTCATCCGACTTTATCTCGATTCGCGCCGCTGGATTTACGGAGAAGACGTATAGCTTTGGAAATTTGTTGCCATTGCAATTTTCTTTCGAGTCAATATGCGATGTTGATCGCTACTGGGAGGCTCTCGAGTGTCTATGCCTTGAACAGATGACAACAGAAGTGGACAACCCGCGAAAAAATGAACCAGTTGTGTGTGGGGTGCCCAAACCAGTAAAAACCCGTGCCCGACGCATGATGCGTATTCTCGCCTGGATACCAAAATCTAGGAAAGTTGTACCGAAACATAAGCGTGGAGATGGTAGCGAAACGACTCATTGTAAGAGTAGCGGTATTGTGTCTACCAATGTCCGACTTCGCAGGAAACGGCGACTGTCTCAACACGGGGACGAACTGAGTAGTGATCACAACGTACAAGGACGTAAGAAGAAGAAGCACCGGAACAGTTCGGGAGACGAGGACCGGTCAAAGTCAGGAGTGCTCACGTGGACTGAGGTACACGAGAAGCTGTTGGTGGATTCCTTCATTGAAAGCAGCAAAAGCCGGTGGAGAATAACTGTTCCTCAAGGTTTGCAGCGCGACAACGAGCAAGTTGCGTTTCGAAATTCCACGATCTCACGGACTGGTCTGGGTCTTGTGGCCATCACACGGAAACTTGGCAAGCGAAAGATTGACGTGAAAAAGCGGCTGAAGGAAAAATTGATGGAGCCTGTCGTAAAACTTTTGTTTGAAAACGCAAAGCAAGAAGCCCAACTTACTTATAACCCCAGTGGGTTATTTGACGAGGAATTTGCGATACAAGGGTCCACGAGGCTTACAGCACTATTTCGGCGCGCTGTGATGATGATTGTGTCACCACGAGAAGAGTATCATCCACTCGTTGCTGAAGAATTAATTTCGTACTGGACGCCACACGAGATTCGACTAGTTTGGCGATACCTTTGGCTGAAGAACTGGATCGTCCGAGCGTCCGAAAAAGAGCGGGGTCGTGGTTACTCTACGAGTCAACGACTGCAAGACTCGCTTAAAGTGTCTACGTTGTCCTACCCCTTGCTGCTATTTCAGCAGGCTGCAGAGCGGGAGAGTATAATTTGCTCCGCGCTGGAGGAACTTACAGCTGGCTCCAATGAGGCGAGGTACCGTGGTGGACTTCATGAAAGTGATCAACTCTTCGAAGACGATTTCCCGGCTAACGCCACCCCTGGCCAGTGTGCTCTCGAGCTAGGCTGTCAAGTACTGGGCACGTGCTCGCTTGTGGCGGTTCAATCTTTGGTTTCAGATCTCGACACAGAGGTTGAAGATGCGTTTGAAGCACAATCTAAAAATGGCAAGCGACTACCGAGTCCCAGTAAGCGAAGAACTCTCATGACTTGCAACGGCTTGAAAGATAGGTCTGGCTTCTTTGCACACTTGGCTAGTAAGGTAAATGTCGCCAAATCATCAGATCTCATTGATACTTGGAGCGTGGAGACCAAGATGCATGCAGTGACGGCAGAGAATGCAATCCCGTTCAGTACATGCGAAGCATTTTCTATGGAGGAAGCCGATGACAGAGGTGACCAGGAAGCAGTCGCGTGCCACATTTTTCTAGATCACAAGGAACCCGAGAATACGATGAAGAAAACAGTGCTGGACCATGTGTGTCAAAGTGGTGAGGAGGGGCTGACGTTGTCAGCTTTGGTGGAAAAGCTGCGCTCGAGCAAGGACGACGAGGTTTACGGTGTCCTGCACATGCGCGTGGCGCACTGTCTCAATTCTCTTGTTGATCAGGGTGTCCTTATTTGCGTTAATGCATACTTCGATCAACGCTACATTTCAAAGGAGCATGGGGATTTGTGGCTACTGCGGCCGTTCTCGCTGGTTCCGGGTGCCAGCTATTTGTTGACGCCTCAAGTTGTGTTTGAAGGCGAGAAGGATACTCTATCGTTTCCGTGGTTAAAGATGAACGGTGGAGCAAATTATAAATTCCTGTTTGCGATCCAGCGCAAGTTGCTTGCACTGGTGATTCAGGCACCGGGTATCACTGAGAAGCGTGCCCACGCTAAGGTCGGTAAACTGCTGTCGCTGCAGGATACACGCGAGGCGATGTCGCTGCTTGTGGTGGACGGGTTGGTCTATGTTCGTGCAGTCACGAATGCTGCAGTCCGAGCTACTGGTCTGTTTACATCATCGGTCACTCAGCCCTCGAATCATAAGGTTATTAAGCCAGTCGGCAGTGTGCTGGCCTGCGACCGCTCAGTTTACGAAGTGCACTACTTCCCCCACGTTGAGTGCGTCCAGCGATTCGGAAGCATTGTACAGGACTACCAGAACGAAGCATTTCCGAATGACAGGCTGTAAGGACGCGGCTTGTGGAACTACTTCCCGGCCGACCGTCTTATTATTTAACCAGCATATTACCTGCTCGACACTTTGTACGAACATGGGACCCCGAGCTTGTAATATATTGCCAGACTGTGCACTTCGTCAACAGCTTGGATGGAAGTGGCAAATTGTCGCCGCACAAATGTGTCACTGAGCGGATGGATTTTCTAGTAGCCAAATCAACGAGAATTGTAATGGAGCCGTTGTCGATATCGGGTATTGTAATCTCAATAGCTGACTTCACATGCCGGACTCTCTCCAGCTCTGGCCCTTGTCTATCTCATGTGGTGTCAATTGAAAAGCGGAACCGGGTGCACGGATGTTCTTCGGCTTTTCGAAAACATCACCAAGAGCAATGATCTTGAGTTCCTGCTGCCCTTCTTGGATGATGACCATTGGCCGGATGATCGATTCAGAGCAACGATCGTCACCTCGCTGCAGCGTAATCACAGCTTGATCCTCGTGTTTTACTTTCAGACTCGATCGAGGTCTATAGTGCTGGTGGTGTTGATAATCAGTGATAAATTGGAGGCTTGCACTAGACCGCCGCCTTTCATCGCATGTTCAGTTTCATAAAACTTGATGCAGTATGCTGAAGTGGCATTCTTATATGAGACTGAGATGGTGATGCATGGGGTTTGATGTCACGAATTCAGCTTGACGACTTAAAAGCAATTCATATATGTTGAAGTTGTGCATGCCACCTGCAATATCGATCAACATTGCTCTGATGCTTCGCACCAAGTCATATTGCATAGCCGATACTTTTTCTGTTTACATATGCAAACAATTATTGAACATGAACCCAAAATTTAAATAAAGGAAAAAGCACCAAGATACCCCTGACAAATGCCGAAACGACAAAAATACCCCTGTTCTTCTAATAAGTGACCGAAATGCCCCTGGCTATAGCCTATGCATACATCAAATTTAGTTTCGCACACCTTAATCACATCACTCTACCGCCAGCCCCTATCTCACTACTTCTCCACGCAATATTACGGCGGAACATCAGCTAAATGTTGGATTGCAGTTTGCGGATGCAAAAAGCTGTCGCAGAGCAGTCAAAGCGAGTGACATTGCTGAACGGTTCGAGCTCGCGGTGATTAAAAGTAACAAACGACGCTTCACAGTGGCTTGCGTGCAAGAAGGCTGCTCCTAGAATCTGCACGCTGCATAAATTGCCGACGCACCAACGTTCACCATCAGGACTCTGCGAGACAAACACTCTTGTCAAGGTGTGACTTATATTGGCCACCAACAGGCATCAGTTTCTTGGGTTGCGAGTGGAGTCGAGGCCCGGTTGCGTAACAACCCCCAGAACAGACCAAAGGAAGTCATCGAGGCGTTCGTCGCAAGCATGGGGTCACGATCTCATACACGCAAGCTTGTATAGAACAGCAAGTAGCATGGGAGCTATTTATGGCTTCTACAAAAAAGCTTATGCAAGTTTTCCGGCGTTTTCCAGGCAATTTTTTTGACAAACCCAGGAGGGGACCGCGAATGGCTGGTGTTCCTTTTATTTGCCTGCCAAATTTTTAGTATTTTGCTGTTGCAATGACTGCTGCAACGAGAAGCGTTGCGGCTGTGTACACGACTGGGCCCGAGCATGTTCGGCGCCTTTTTGTTGCCTACCAAGCGTCAATTGCAGGATTAAGAACTGTATGCCGTCAACTACTGGGGCTTGAAGGAACCCACCTTAGATCAAAGTGTGTGGGGACGCTCCTAGCGGCGGCGGCTGTGGACGGCAAAGGCGCTCTCTTTCCGCTGGCAATAGCCGTCGTCGATGCTAATAACTACAAGAACTGGCTTTGGTTTTTAATAGAGCTACGGACGCTTCTGGAAGCAAATAGTCCAAATCTGCAATGTCTGACCTTCCTTCCCGACCTTCAGAAAGGGCTGATCGACGGAGTTCAGAAATTTTTCTCTGATGCATTTCAAGGCTTTTGCATGCGGCACCTCAGCGAAAACTTTCAAAAGGTATTCAAAAATGTCTCATTGATGAAGCTCTTGTGTCAGGCCGCCTATGCATCGACTGACGTGGAATTCGACACTAAGATGAGCGAGATTGAAGAAATTTCAATTGAAGCTAAAGAGTTGATTGTGGGCATAGCCAAAAATCTTTGTGCCAACAGCACGTTTGAGGGAGAAAGATTTGGACATCTGACCTTTAAAATCGCGGAATCGCTTAGCGATTGAATTCTGGAAGCCCGTGAGCTCCCAATCGTAATGATGATGCAGCGGTAGGTTGCTGATGGAGTCTACTGAATGTATTTGAACTACACATTTTAATCGTTTTGGAATATTTTTCTGTGGGAAAAGGATCTGCCAGCATTTGATGGTCTGGTTCGATGAGTGACGACGGAAGGCAGATGAACGGCCCTCGCTACTTTTTCCTTCAGTAGAGAAAAAGTTCAGCCCTGACGTCGAGCGCGCTAGGCACTTCCGGGTTCTATGTGCGGCTGATCATGAATTCGAGGTAATACCGGAGGACCGGAATTTGACTGTCAGAATTAGGCAACATGAGTGCTCGTGTAAGCGGTGGCCGGTACAAGGTGAGCTTGTTCAGATATAATCTGAAAAGTATCCTTGATGAATCGTTTTACAAACATTGGCACAGCTTTATCACCAGGTCTTCCTTGTCACCACGCAGCAGATGCGCTACTATCGTGTCGAAAAAATGTGCGGCAGCAAGTAACACTTTGCTTTACGGAAGTTGAACACCGGCGCACGTACGCAGAAATGGTACATCCACTTGGCGATGAAAGAATTTGGGTTGACGTGTACGATAAAAACAGGGAAGAAGTGCGTGTATCCCCACTGTGGACACGGCGCCCACCTGGACACCCAAACAAAAAGCGCGTACGTAGATAGGATGAAGGCCTATAGCAGCGTCCCGTGCATTGCGGCAGATACACACAATCTGGAGATTACAGCTCTACTTGTCGTGAGTGCATATGAATCTCACTACACTTTGGGAAAAGAAAATTGCCAGCATTTGATGTCTAGGCTATATCCAGGGGCATTTTGGTCGTTCATAGAAGTACAGGAATATTTTTGTCTTTTCGGCATTTGTCACGGGTATTTGGTACTTGATCCTTTCAATATCTTTAACACCAATACAACACTACTTCAGGTTGGGCGGCAAGAAAAGACTAGTGCTTGACGGCTATTTCGAGAGACAGCAGAGGCTCATCGCGACTTTCTCGCCGAAACCAGCGCGATGTTGTCATGTCAGACCCCCCTCTGATAAGCTACCCCCTCCCCGATAACTTGTAACCTCCGCTAACTTTTAGGATTGGACGTCACCGTGGTCTTGTCGTTCTACGGTCGCTAACTTATAGCTTGTGACTGATACTCAATAGGCCTGTTACAAGTGCATGAAATGAGAATTTGTACCATTTGTGGGGGAGTAAACCTATTCAAGCCAAGCATCGATGGTGGTCTGTGTGGAGATAGCACTAAAAATGTCAGTCTGAAGGCTGCGGAGTAACTCGTAAGCAAGACGGTGTATTTTTAAGACACATAATTTAAGATGCGGCTACTATCCGAGATGATGATCTTCTCGGACTTGGGTTGTCCGTCTGTAACTGCCTCTTTCTCCGACGCAACTCCCCCGCTTCTACCTTTTCCTTCTGCACTGCTATTCCGCTTCTACCTTTTTCTTCTGCACTGTATTCAACCTCACAATCAACGGGCTTTGGCTGAGCACTCTCATCGTCTTCAATGAAGTTAAAAAGCTCATCAATGGAGGGTCAGCACAAAAGCATGCTGTTGCTCAAAACGAGAGGGACGGCTGAACCAGGTACATGTCTTGGTGATCTCTGGGGCTCTTATTATGATGGTCATGGGGAGGTTCTAATTTGTGGTGGAAGTGGAATGTTTTCTTTGGTAAATTAAAAAAGCCCCAGATAATTGGAAAGTCAAAAAGTCCACGTCCTCGTATGCTCAGGTCTAACTAATACACATAGCACACCACATCTTTAGTCATTTAAAATAACCAATTTACGTCTACGCTCAAACCCCACCCTGTAGGGGAGCCGGGGAAGATTTTTTTTCGCGGCGTGCTGCGCTCGCAGCCACCAGTTGCGGGCGCAGATGCTACGGAGAAGACGTGAGCGCGTCATCATATCATCGCCCACGGCTGTAAGAATAGACAGTCAGTCCCATGTAGTTGATGCTGATGGTATTATCTTGTCATTGTTTTCCAACATTAGTATTGTTGTTATCGTTTGAGTTGTTTTTGTTTTGTATCAGCTGCTGCTTTTGTTTCTGGTGTCGTTGTTGCTGCTACTGTTTGTCGATGTAGCTATTGTTGTTGTTGTAAGTTTTATTGTCCCGTTGCTTTTGTTAGTGCTGCTGTGGTGTTGCTTTGTGCTGATGTTGTTAATAATGTACTACGGATGATACTTGTTTTGTTGTCGCTGCTGCTGTTGTAGCGGATCTTCCTTTACTCCATCATCAGAGGAAGACTTTTGACCCGTAGAGTCTCTTAGTGTATTAAGCTAAACGGGTATGAACTTAAAGGGTCTCAAGTCGTTAAAGACTTAGGTAGACTTAACTCTATGTATCTGAGCAAGCTCTTGAGCTTCTAGATCTGGTTCAGGGTATTACAAAAGCTCTACCACTTCTATGTGCTGCAAGATAGAAATTAGTTTCTTGAGTTTAATATATGGCTAAAATGAATATTTAAACCCCCTCATAAACCGTCCAGTTCGATTCGGATTGTTCGGAGACCACTGTCCATGCAAGTTGCTCTTTTACACGACACGCACATCACCTTCATTAGTAGTGATCTACTACACTCCCCTTCAAATTGCGCCTTCGCAAATTCCGCTTTCATCACATTGTCGCATTAATAGCGGTGCAGCAAGTGGCTTCGTAAGGTAATCAGCAAGTTGCATAGATGACGGAACATGTTTCAGCTGAACTTGCCTTGCTCAATGTGATCTCACAAAAGATGCACCCTGAGGTCGATGTGTTTATCTATTGGTGTGTATCATAGATTCGCTGCGACACTTATCGCTGACTTGTTGTTCATGTGCACTGTAGTCGGAGTCTTACACGTGACACCTGTAACGGGGCACCCTGAAGCTTGTACTGGTGACAGTACAAGCTACTTATTCTGATGACAGAATAAGGCGGTGCCTCGTAACTTCACGTACACTCGTACGTGCAGAGGAAGACGGTAAGAAGAAGCGAGTACTTGGTTAAAGTAAAAAGTAGAACTGTATTTATAATAGTTAATGTCTGCAATAAATTACTATTTATCTTCATCTAACTATGTCTAAATACAAATGTGTAAATCAACTATCTGCTCACCACTCATTGCGTGCGTCTGTCGTGGCGCGTCTTCGTTAGTTGATATAATGGCCTATATCAACCAATTAGGAACTACTCGTAAGTGCTGCAGAATATTTGTCCTTATGACAATATTCTGAGAATATAACTCTTATAGTTATATTCTATTAACAATTTCTTATAAATTGTTATGTAACGATTCACCCCGTTACAACACCCATCTCTTTGAGCAAATAACGAACCCACATTACTTCTTGCGAATCCATTGCCAATGCCATGTATTCTGCTTAAGCAGAGAATATGTCCACCAAATTTTGGCGCTTGCTTTTGTTTACGACAGCTTCACCTCCATGTGAAATCAACAGCCCAGACGTAGATCGACGAGTCTTCGTACCATTTTCCCAATTCGCGTCACAATATGCCCAAAGCATAATCTTGTTGTCGTCCGATTTCTTGTACGTTGTCCGGTGCCATTGTGTTCCCATGAGATAGTGCAGAACACGTAAATCCGCACGCCAGTGCATCTGTCGTGGCTATTCCAAGTACTGTGATAATACTGACATCGCATAGCTAAAGTCTGGTCACGTTGCATTCGCCTCATACATCAGCGAACCGACCATTTTCCGGTACGAATTGATATCTTAAGCACCAAGTGTGCTCATTCGGATTTGATTCCCGGCTTGCGCAAATAGAGCTGCGAACTGCATACGCCTTACTTTGCTCGAACTTAGAGACCAACTTTGTGACAAAAGTGATTGCATTAGGTCCTTAGTTCACACACAAGCTGCTACTCTAAGCCTTCTGGATTCCATGGATAATTCTTTCTCGATTTCAGTAGTAGTCAAAGGTAAAAGTCATTTATCCGAACACAATGTCAGTACATGTGTGCCACTCTCACATGCGTATACCAGGACGTGGACCATTCTTTTTTCGTGACTGAATGGGACAGTTTTTGTATTTTCTCAATTCAAAAAGGTTCCTGCGAAATGGGTGCAATATGCGAGGCGTTGCCCATGTGCATTTTTGCCGCGTGGTCTGTTAATGGCGGTCACCTCAGCACACGAACGAAAACCGGATAGATCGCTTCCGATTTCTGATCCTCCATGTTTCGACAAGTCAATAAGTTGCCAGAGGTTCTGTGGACTGACAGACCATGCACTCCCACAATTTACGGCTCTGCCCATTTTATTATTCACGACCGCGAGCATTGCAGTAACTCGTTTTGAGTCCAACAGGCCATGTGCATCAGCTGCTACTGGCCACGCACAAATGTCGCATTTGACAGTGCTCGCTTACCACAGTAAAAAAGGTAAAGAATCATACATGTAAATGATCGACACTTCTGGTGACGATTAGTTCAAATATTCACACGGGTCATCATGGCTGCTAAAAGACGGCTGGGGTTAGGTCCCTTGACAAACGCCAGGCCGTATGGCGACACGTGTAAATAGCACCCATTACCAATTCGGGTCTGCTCCGCATTGTCGAGACCTGACAACAACCAACAACAGTCCTTTCTCTTTCTCTTTCCCTTGTCCTTTCTCTTTCACTTGTTCTTTCTCTTCTCCATCTTGATTAAGTAGCGCAACGTCAACCTGACTTCCCGTAGGTTGAAGCTGCGCACCAATCGACGATGACGTCGTCAATGTCATTCCTTGATTTGCTTCAAGTGCTTCCGTCTACCCCTACTTAGTCATAACATGGTCGTCCAGCTCCTGCAACACGAGCACGGCAAAGGCCGCGTACGGCTGCTCAAGGTCACACGCACGCCCGAGAAGCACTCGGTGCTCCAGCTGGAGGCGCAGGTGCTGCTGGAAGGCACAGGCGCTGCCAGCGCCTATAACAACGGCGACAACGGCCACGTCCTGCCCACTGACTCGATCAAGAACACGGTGTGGGTGCTCGCCAAGGAGCACGAGATGGCGTCGCTCGAGGACTTTGGCGTCATTCTGGCCACGCACTTTGTCACTAGACACTCGGCCATTGTATGTCCGTTTTGAGGTTTTACATCTGTCCCTTTTGTGGGTTATATTAATTCAGAGGAGACCCTAGGTTTTGGGCCAGTACAATGGGTTCTAATCTGATATTGTATTTGTGCCTTGTGCCAAAATGTGCCTGCAATAGATCAGTGTGGCGAAGGTGAAGCTCGTGGAGACGCCGTGGGAGCGTCTTGTGGTGCCCAACACCAAAGGCGAGATGCAGCCGCATCATCACGCTTTTGTCAGCTCTGGTCTTGGCTTCTCCACGACTCAGTAGGTGCTTAAGCTCTTGATTTGTGTCAGCTTTTGTCTTGGAGGTAGTCGTCTGTTGCAGCTCAGAGCTAACTGGCGTCACGTCTCGCTCTTTCTTTCTCTTTGATTCTTGCTCTGTAGTGTCGTTGCTCGCAAGTCAACGACAGACAGTACCCCAGAGATGATGGTGCAGGGCGGTGTAGACGGTCTCAAGGTTCTCAAGACCACGCAGAGCTCATTTGTTGACTTTTTCCAGGACGAGTACACGACGCTGCCTCAAGTGCCCGACCGCCTGATGTGCACGTGCGTCACGGCTTCTTGGACCTACACGTCGGATGCCGTCGGCGGAGATTTTGCTGGCAAAGTGGCAGAGATCAAGAAGGTGCTCTTGGAGACGTTCGCAGGTCCATCAGATGTAGGTGTGCCCAGTCCTGCTGTTCAGTTCACGCTGTTCAAGATGGGCGAGGCGGTGCTGGAGAAATGTCCGTATGTGAAAGACATCAAGATCTCGATGCCCAATATCCACAACAATCCCATCGACCTCTCTCGCTTCGGCTGCAAGAACATTCACCCACACGGCGAGGTGTTTCTGCCCACGGACGAGCCACACGGCATTATTTCAGCTACGATGGTGCGTTCTGTGTCCAAGCTGTAGACGTGGAACGATTCGTGGCTAGTCCTCCATCGAGTAAGCATCCACTTCAGTATCATGTGGATCGGAGTTGAGTTACTGGCATGTGCAGCGATTCAAACTTGCGTGACGGCCATGATTCAGCGAACAACCGCTGGATAATGAGATAGGGGAGCAAGTTCTGGAGCTCGTCTTTTGATAAAAGTAATCTAGTTCGGAGAACTGAATCAAGCTGCACAACCGACACAAAATAGCAGCAGTCACTGAGGAAGGAGTTTGATGCTGTTAATGTCTGAGTGAACCCAGTACAGTGTGGTAGGGCAACGCGACCAGCCTTTGTTTACGAGCGTCGATCATTTGCTTATTGGCTCACATTCACCTTTTTATTGGTTTTAAGCCAATCACGTACGTGCATCACAATAGTGACCCCGCCCGATGGTGACTTCGAATGCACCAACGTACCTATGAGAAGGGGACAGGCTTGATCGCACTCAGTACGTGTAGGGTACACCTAACCGTGTTATTACGGACGCACACACGGAGAAGTACGATTTAACCACTCGGCATTCAACCTAAAGCACACTCTATCGTTTATTGCGAACCCGAAGAGTAAAACACTACTAACTTTACCCTTCGGGCTCGCAACAAACTATTCCGTAACGGCAGAACCCGTCCGTCTTGACGATAGTAAGAACGATCCGTACACTCGTACGGATCAAATGGTCGTCGGATTCATTCGCGAGTGGCGGTGTTGCCTTCGACGAGCTGGAAGTCGTAGTTTTTCGTTCGAGCACTATAGTTGCATGCCGGATGGAAGTATCATTGTCTGTAGAAATCATCGAGTGCTTGTGCAAGTGGATGGAGCTTGCTTCGTAATGCTCCATCATTGCTGTTCTCAGCTACGCGCCGAACACGTTGATGCATTTCGTGAAAGCAAGTGTCGCATTGCCTGGCTCGATCGCTACAACCAGCAGAAAAAAATGAGTTGGTCAAGCGCAGGTATGCATCCTATCACACGGATCTTACCGTTCATCACCCACAAGACCAACTGCTCGCAAGCGCCCGTCTCGACTATCCTTCCTCACAATGGCAGCAAATACGTTGAGCAGCTTTTGCCCAGAGACGACGCCAACACTCAGATATCTGTCCATGATCATTCCAGGAGACATGACAACGATTAGTCGGAAAGATGATGAGACAGCAGTAGGCAGTGCTGGTGACGCTGGTATACGCACAATTCAAATTTGCTGTCCAAAAGCTCTAGAATGAGCGGAAGCAGCAACGTACACGCTTCCAGATCAACGCCGGCGGATGACAAGTCCATGATACGCAGCATATCCACTACCACAGCTGCGCGCTTCCCTTTTGGCAATTCGCCAATAAATTGAAGACCATTGATCAAATGTCCCCTTTTCCAGTGAACCAGTAGCTGCTGGACGCACTTCTGTCGAGCCTTGAACGCTTTTACACATGTGTCCATTCCACTACGGAGCTCCATCACAAAGTCGGACACTGCCAGTTCTCCGTCTCGCTGCAGTGATGTAAATAAAAGTGAATTGGTCTCACGCATCTCTGAATCGGTATCAAGCGTCTCTGTATGTCCGTCTGACAGCCGTTGCGGTGACATGCAGCTTGCAGTGCTCGTCCTAGTCCTATCTGGGCTAGAGACGTCAGCTACAGTCAGGATACAGGTCAGCTGCTGTTCGTATGACCAACCCAATATCAGTACAAGTACCTGATTTAGCAGAGTCTTCACCACGACATGTCAGACGGGTAGGTACAACTGGATGAGGGACAAAGACTTCGGAAGTCGCCTGATGGGTGGACACCTGACGAGTGGAATCCCGAGGCATCTGGTCCCGAAGTACAACCGTTTTTGCGCGTGTCACAAAATCGGGAGCTTTCGTACTACCCGCCCGAGAAGCACGTGTTGCTGCGTCCAGCGTGTCAGCTGCTTTTGCTACAACCTTGAGCCGAGTGGTGGTTTTTTCTGCAGCTACTGGGCCTGACGGAGGCAACGGAGGTCTGCTGCAGCTGCTTTTGGTTGCGGGGGCTCCTTCATCGTTGGCGTTGTTGGTTGTACGGAGAAATGGCCGCATTTGCATCACGTCTAGCTCCCATATAGAAACAAAAGCGTCCTCAATACATCCAGTTATGAGCTTCATGTCGTTCGTTAGCTTCGTGTCGGCGTGGACCTCACCACAGTCTCGCTCTTCTTGACTTGGCATCGCGATGCTGTCGTGACACTGATTCACATCATCCGTATGTAAACCTCACTTCACCATTCAGTAAACTGACATCAACTTCCAACCTCGATCCCGGATTCGTATGACCATACTCGAATCGCCTCGTGCGAACAGCTGAAAAGATACTTACCACAATGTGGTTCGGTAACTGTGTGGCACATCGATGTAGTCTGACCAACAACACATACGTGTCAGTGACGCTTGCGCATATCCCTTTGCACCATTGTGGCAAAATGGCGTCCCATTCGACGTACCGTTGCCGTGTCCACCGGAGTAACGCCTATCGCTGCAAAGTTTTGGACGTCCCAGTATCGAATAGTGCGGTCTGCTGCAGAAGAAGCCAGAATGAACTCTTCTGGATTAAACGAAAAGTTCGTGACAGCGGCACCGTGGTCAGTACATTTATGAAGGAGCCGCCCAGCCGTAAGATCCCAGATCTTGATAACACCGTCCTGGTCACCCGAAGTAAGCCAGCGTCCATCCGGCGTGAAGCTCACTACCGTAATTTTCGACGAATGGCCCTGGAATGTCTGCATGCAGCTCGCCATGTGCAGATCCCACACCTTGACAATCGTATCGAGCGAGCCAGAGGCCACATAGCCTCCGTAGAGATGGTAGTCCACAGTAGTCGTCGCAGCCGTGTGTCCTTTCAGCGCCCGACTCGCTTTGCCAGCTTCGAGATCGAACACCTTCACAGCTCCAGACTGCGACCCAGCCACCACCTGGCAATCCATCGGGTCGAACACGATGCTTTCGACGGCACTTTGATGTCCCGACAGACTCTAGCACAGCACAGCACAGCATTAGACTCTGGTGGAGGCAGCTCCGGACCCTAGTCGGCCATGTGCCGGACCCTAGTCAGCCATGTACCATGATCTTCTCGGTATCGTTCTCCCGCATTTTCCAGAGGTTGACCAGATGGTCGCTACCGCCCGTTGCGATGACTTGGTCCTGTACGAGTGATCAGTAGTGAGACAAAAGAGCCGTCTCGAGTCTGTGTTAGAGCAAGAGTCATGGCTGGAACCTGGACCTTGTGACCGAAGCGCAAGCACTTGACATTGCTGGCGTGGGCTGTAAAATGAGCTGCCTCAAGAGAGAGAGAGAGAGAGAGAGAGAGAGAGAGAGAGAGAGAGAGAGAAAAAGTAAGTGGAGGCACATTATGAAGTAGCGGCAACAACAACAAAGCAGCGGCACGTACAGCGGCGAGTGAGTCCCATGTCTGGGCTCGCGACGTGCCTCGTGCACTTGCACTTTGTATTGAGAAAGCGAGAGAGAGAGATGAACCCACGGGACCGAGCGGGTTTGGGACGACTTTGGGACGCTCTTGTGGACTACCACTTTGTATCAAGACTTGAGATCGATCCCCCGCTGGATTAAGCCGGTCCCGCTGGGCTCACTTACTCAGTCACTCACTCAGTCAGTCACTCGCGCCTGACAGGATATACCGATGCAAGTGCTCATTGCAGTGCTGAGTTTCATCGACATTGTAGCACTCACGTTCCTCAATGGCTACTGGGTACGTCGTCGCTCTCTCTCTCTCTTCAGCTCACTCTCCTCTGCTTGGTCACTACTCACCGAAGGGTTTCCTTCTCGGTTTGCCTGTAGCTGATCACTCTGGACGAATTGGAGCTGGACCATTTGAACCCGGCAGATGTCGCCCAGCGTCTGAACAAGCTCGTTTGTGCGTACCTGTGTTGGTTCATAGGCGGGATCTGTTGTACTAGTGGTAGACCCTGTACTGCAAGAGAAAGATCCGAGCTGGCTCAATATGTGGGGGGGATGTGCTGCGTGGCTATTGTTTGCAGACCCAGAGATGATCCTGCACGGCGTCCTCATGTTCTTTTGTCTCCTGGCATGGGCTCCGTGGATCTTCCTGCTCAACCTCCCGATTGCCGTGTGGCACGCCCGACGGTGAGCGTGGATGAATGGATGAGATTAGCTATCAATTATCTGGTACTTGCTGCGACTGACACCTGCTGTTGTCCCTGCAGTGTCATGCGCAAGGAACATCTGATCGACCCAACGGAGATTTTACGCTACAAGAAGCTACAGCAAGCACGCGTGGAATCAATTGCCAGGACGGTGTTCTATGGACTGCAGATCGTCTATGGCATGTTCTGGTACGTAGCTGTGCTCGACACCCTTCGCGTCTATCATGTGATCTAGCAAGCACCTACACCTGCTCTTGATTAACATGTTGTGGTCTCTTACTACAATAGGATGGTGTCAGCTATCGTAACCTCGGCCAAGAATCGAAAGAGTAACAAGAGCGCATAGACAGCAAGGACTAGTCGGCATCTATCTGCTGCTAGCACAACTGCCATGGTCACGACTGATGAAGGCTCCCCATCCTTTTGAAAAAGAGCGACTTGACTGCCACAGACAGGTACAAGCCGCCAACGTGCTGTTAGAAATTGATGATCCAGTCGTCGAACCCAGCTCAAATAGAGTCGCTGCAACCGATGTAGCCATGTCCATCATGATAATTGCCTTTTTAGCCTCTTTTTGACTTCACAACCCGATTTCGTCAACGCTATTTGACATCTGGCCAAGAAACGGCAAATGCGTCGTCGATATGGACGTCGACGTGCCGCTAAGGCAAAAGCCACCGCCACCGCTACTGCAGTAAACGCTTCAGCTACTGGCGCATCGACAGCCTTATCAGCAGCAGCTCTTGCAGACGCGACTGCGGCTCCGTACGCGTCGACGGCTGCCAAGAAGCGGCAGACCACGGTGCATGCTGCGGCCCGGATGAAGCTGCACGTCCATGGCCACGAATTCCAGGGCGGCGAAGAGATTGTGCTGAATCCCGACAGCTTCCCACAGCTCCGAGAGATGGCGTGGAAGGATTACGTGGTCGAGGTCTTCCATCCAGAGTATACAGGCGAGACGCAGGTCATGGCAACGGATGGAGCAGCAGCCGCCATGGCCGAAGGTTCGCCACAGAACCATTTGCTGCTGGAAATCCCAGAGAGCAGTGCAGCGCCACTTAAGGGCAAGCTGCAGGTGAGTGTGCTCAAGGACACGGCCACGTTCTTTCAGCTGGCACCGTTCAAGGACGTGACGGTGCGGTTCCTGCCCAAGACGCAGGTTAAGGTGGATTTCGTAGAAGTGGCGCTGAAAGACCAGTTCATGTCGAGAAGGGACCTCATGTACTTGAAACAGTCGATGGTCGGCTTGGCTTTGTATGTTGGCAAGACGATCCGAGTGCAGGGGACGAGGTGGCAGGTGCTGGATGTCCGTGCAGGCGGCGGCAAGGTACGGAGCGGCGTAATTTCGGAAACTACCAAGTTTACTTTTCGCTCGCAAACGTCGAGGGTGATGTGGCTGGTGCAAATTAGTCCAGAGATGTGGGATATGGCGAACTCGGGCATGTTGTACATGGAGATCTTCTTGGCAGTCGTTCGGAACGTGCTGAGCAAGTGGGTGAAGCACAAAGTCTCTCATAGTCTTACAATTCTTTTTTATTCTCGATGTTTGTACCCGGAAATGGACCAGGATCATGAGGTGTCGTCTTTGGATAATGGTCACTATCGAAGCTCGATGCCGAAACGAAGACAGCCGTGGGAAGAGGTTGGTGAGAAAGAGTCATCCTTTCCGTATGATGGGAGTGAGCGCTTTTCGGTCGGTGTGGATGAAAATGGGAGGCATTACCAGGATTTCTACAAACTGGTTACGTTCGACAGCATAATTACAGACGTGCAGCCGCTGCTGATGGATCTCAAAACAGAATTGAATGTGTTTCCGCGCGAATGTGGCTGGCGGTCACCAGCAGATTGCTACGTCTCGTCTTTTACTTCTTCGAAGTCGATCCGAAACGAAGCGTATCCACGACCGGGGGTCCCGTCAAATGCGCGCAACGGGAACCTACTAGAAGCTGTAAATCTCGTGCTCAATCTATTCGAGAAGCACCATATCGACCGTGACTTGGCCCGCAGCGGTCAAAGCGTCGTGCTCATTACAGCAGGCAACGGCATTTTCCCCGTCAATAAGCGATTGTCTGAAATTACGGAACAGCGCATGATGGACCATGGTATTGGCATTGACCTCCTCTCGTTGGCATCTCGTCCGCTGCACAAATGCCCACTGTTTCTTTTCAAAGAGTCCGATTTATCTGAAATGAAACTTCCTAGTCGGAAAGACGGCAATCTTGCGACAGAGGTCTGTTTGTGCAGCAACAACCCACATGGGTCAAAGAACGCGTACCAGCGACGCTCACGCTTGGATTCAAACGAAGTCAATGCCGATACACAGTTGGGAGCGATTGACCCGGCTGTGTCGTCAATGCGAACGGGCCAGTTGTGCAAGTATTGTTTGCAACGGATGGAAAACTGCAAAAACTATATCGTGCCGCTTTGGATTCCGCTTTGGTTTGTGCAAGAAAACATGCTCGTTCCTCACGAGTGTCCACTGGACGAAGACATCACTCGATTTTGTGATGTCTGCGCTCCGCAGAGCGTGAAGACAAAAACGTTTGAGCCGCTGCCAATGTGCCGGATGTTCAAAGAAATTGGTTTTACCCACGTCGACACCTGGTCGCTTCCAAAGCCGCTGGAGTGTTTGCTTGCGGGCTTTCCAGCAACCAAACCATCGATGAGTGATGGAAGCCGCATTAACACCACTTTCAACTTCAGACCGTCTGCTAGCAGGTATACTCACGACAGCGTCATTGCTGCCGGTCTAACTAGTGACCTCGTTCGCGCTCGAGCGTCTTCTATCACGCGCTCCGACGACTCTCTCTCGTGTGATGGCGAAGTCCGTACGAAAGCCCGTACCTTTTCCGTATCCGAACAGAATAGGCTGCTCCACGAGTATGAAAAGTATGATGACGAAGCCTTTGACTTCGCACCAGCACCGAAATTCGTGCCGAAATCGTCCGATAGCGATGTCAGTGTCCGTGCAGCTACACCACCTCCGCCAAGATCGGGTATGCCGTTCTTTACGTCAATAATGAGCAAGAAACGGACTGGTGTTGTCGGATTTCAGTCAGGTTCAGCAGGCACAGGAAACGAAAACGGAAGCAACAGCAGCGGTGGACCTCGCTGGCGTCACTACGAACAACGATCGCCTTCTCCACTGAATGTTGACATGGCTGAGTACAGAGGGAGTTTGGAGGCAACGGCGGGGTCATTGGATGACGACAAGGATAGACACCGCATGACTTCAAGCTCGTTCCCGAATACGTTGCAGCCGGGTGACGGCAGTAGCCGAAGTCACACTGCGTTTATGACGAGCCCGGTCTTACGTCCTGCTGACTATACCGTTAATGAAGACATTTTCCACTCTCAGGCGTATATGTTGAAGCAGCTCACGAGCAATCAGCGCCGATGGAGTCAAGTGCGGCCATACGAAGATCAGCAGTACAAGATTGCGCAGAATGTGTTGAAGTGGAGGAGTCTGTGTTTTCCTGCACTTCTACCACTTGCAAGTGATTTCATGCCGGCCCCGAAAGAGTTGCAAGCTCACTATACGGAGTCATTCTACAGTGTCATGCTTCCAGAACGCGACGAACAGAATGGTGTGATGTTCCGCGATTATCGTGAGCTGGTGCTTGAAATGGTGGCACAGCGACTTTCCCAAGACTTCCAACTTGTCTCCGTGGAAGTGTCGAATGAAGCTGGTGAGAAAACTGGTACTGTGTTTCGACTCAGCATGGGCCATCGAATTCACGAAATCGTGTACAATGAGGAAACGCAGACGATTGATGTGAAGCGCTATCTTCAGAAAGTAACAACCCGCTCGGACGTGGACATCATGGAGTATCGCTACTTGCTTTGGTCGCCCATTGTAAATCGATTTGTCGCAGTTGGCCAAGAATTCCGCAAGTACCTGCAGATCGAATACCAGTGGAACCACCTTGACCAATTAATCTGCGGCTACATTGACGAAATGAGCGAAGGGATCCGCTATAAACGCAGCCTTTATTGTCTTTTTCCACCTCGGTTGGAAGGCTCGGATATCAGCGATCAAGGTGAGAGGAGCAACACGTTTGCATGCTTTCGGAGAGGATGTCGTTATTGATGTTGCGCACTGTGTTTTGTTGCTTCTAGAAAAATTGCGGAGCTATACCGAAGGATGTCAAAAGTTCCTCGAGTTTCTGCGAGTCAAGGCAGACGCGAGTACAGGATTTCCGAGTGTGCAGTTCTCGACTGATTGGCACGACGGCATTGCAACGAGCGGTATTAAAGCGTTCAAGCGCGTACGGCAAAGAAGTGTCAAGATGCTACTGCATACGAATGATGCCTTGACAAGTCAAAACTGGGTGATCGCAAAGATTGACACGAAGGTGTTTCCGATGCAGTGTTTCCATGTGGAAATCCAGTGGCTCGTGTGTCGCAGCTCCCTTGTCGATGATTTAATCACTGGCTTGAGTCGCCGCGCGAAGCAGCTCGGCCTGGAAATGCACCGGGTGACTGAAAACGGCATCTCAAGCAACCTGGACCTGCATCCGCTGAATTGCCCCATCTTTTTGAAAATTGACGATCCGGTCCAGCAGCAAGAGGTGGAGAAGGCATTGGTCGAGCGATTTGGTTTCTGCGCTGAAGCGCTGCACCCGATCCCGTTCACGCATCTGAATCATAACGCAGAGTATGCGGTCGAAGCGCAGGAGGCCCGGCCACCACGTGCGCGCCGCATGACTTCGTATTACCGGCAGTATGTACACCGGTCGCTGTCGTGCTTTGCGCGCATGACGCAGACTGGGCTGGTATGGATCTCGAACCAGACGGTGCACGACGACGAGATCCAGCCGATCTTTGACGATCTGCGGCAGTATATTGAATCGATGCAGGTGGCGCACTCGGCGTTGAGGAGTCTGCTGGATGATGTGGTCAAGCCTGGAGAAGCAGCAGCACCGTCAATGACGACAAAAAAGGCTGTGCTGCTGGATCGAACAGCGCAGGCAGTTGGCGCGAGTGTCTTGTGCGAAGAAAGCGTCAAGAAACAATCGGAGAGCTCAAGCACGAGTGGGAATTTGAGCGGTAGCAAAGAAGAGCAGGAAAGTGCTCAAGCGGAGACCAATGCGGTGGTGTGTCACGCTGCATTGGACACGAAGGGGGACCTTTTGACCATTGCAGGGGAAGGGGGTGCTGGATCCGGTGCTCCGTATGTGGCAGAACCGCGGGCAGAAGATCCTCCGGAATTTGATGTGATGCCATCTTTGGATCTGAAGGCAAAGCGGAGACGCGATTCGAGTGACGGTTGTGCATCTCTGACATCGTGTGGCTTGGCAGCGTGAGTCAGACCGCCGTGTAGCCACTCTTTGGACTGGTTTAGGTATTGCACGGAAGTGGACGTGTATCTTTGTCGTCACATGGGGACTCAATATGCGGTGCCAATCTCGTTGCACTACTGAACCCACCAGGAAGACAGCACGCAAACGAGCCTACAGTAGTGCACTTGGATGTAGCAATAATGGCGAGCCAACAAGACCGTGCCGTGCGTGATCACTACTGTTGCACCACAATATCGAAATGACCCACCGGTTCAGTGGGAGTGGCTTCAATACCGTCGATTCCCACCTCGACCGTAGCACATGCATCGCCTCGATCGTCTCGGTAATATACCGGTAGAAGCGAACAGTACCGCCAGCACCGCACGTCGCCGCGTTTCTATCGCTACTTCACATCATGTACCCATGCAGGTCGGTGGCCGGCCTTTACTTACCCGTCCACCTGCTGTCATCATTGTACGCACACTTAGTCACCCCCTCTCTCACACGCTACTCAATCACTTTGCAATTCGCCGAGTAGGTTCGTCCCCATCCTTCGTCCAGTCCCGCACGGTCTTGGGCACCGCGTCGCTGCTTGTCGCCTGATGGCAATCCCCATAGCCACCGCCGCCCTCCCACGCCCCGCGTCTCCCGCGCGCGTGGCTTCTACCAACTTGTTCCGCCGCATGTCCGCACAGGCCCTGGGGATGAAGGCCGCGGCGCTGTGCCACCGCTCGCATTGGGTGCCCAAGTCCTCGCGCACGAGCTGCTCCAACTGCCGCCGGAGCTTCCGTCTCTGGGCCAGCAAGCACCACTGCCGTCTCTGTGGGGAGGTCGTGTGCGGGGCCTGCTCGACGAAGCGCATCCTGTTCCAGAGCAAGAGCGCGCGCACGTGTGACGACTGTGTGGACGCCAATGTGCCCCCTCTCTCCGCGTCAGTCGATGGGGACCAGGCGAGCTCTGCGGCGCTTAGAGATCGCGATGCAAAGCAGTCGAGCCGGTTACCGGAGCTCAAGGCGCGTCTAAATAGTGGCAAACGTCGACTCCGTCGACACCATTCGTCCTTTGCAGCCTCGTCAACGACGCGGCTTGGCTCGCGTCGTCGGGCGACCACTGTCAGTAGCAGTACCTCAAAACATGGAGTCGAGACGTGCTGTTGCTCCGCCTCCTCCTCTTCCTCGGTTGAAACGGTGGCGGTGCTGAACTACCACTTCACGTTTCCCCGACAGAAGCAGATCATGTCGCTCGCGATTGCAGCGCTCGTCGTCTTGATCGGCTGTGCTGTCGAGCGCACGGCGCAAATCTGGATGTAAGATTTGCAGTTGCATGTACGAACACGACTGCTGTTTTTGGCTTTACCTACCACCACGCACGACCCCATTTACATAACGGACAAGGGCAATGATGTCCGTGCGCAGAGACACACCTGGTGAGGCATATCGAAGGTATTGGTTGTCGTCTTTGGCTGAAGGGAAGGGAAGACCTGGTCATTCATTCCCAAAGCTAACAGAGACAGCTCGTGACATCCTAGAGGTTGCGAGTTATGTCTCTTGTCGTCCACAAAGTGTAGACGCTATTTAGCCGCTAGTAACCTCGGGATCGATCCCAGCAAGAAGGTGTCAGATCCTAGACCTTTCGGACACGATAGTGTATGGTATTGGGCTGGTTTAAGATGCCCATCTGAACACCTTCGATAGCATCGCTGCGCTTTACCGATAGGACTCTCACTGGAGATGAAAGACGATGCTGTCGGTAATGCCGCAACCGACACCATTGATGAGCTCTCGAGCAACAAGGGCCAAGAGACACCTTCTATATGGAGAAGCCGGAGTACCCGGCTCTCTTACCCCGAGCAAGATGTGCCTTGTGGTAAGGCTCGGGTGAAAGGAAGAAGGCCACGAGTAGCAGCGCAGGACCCAAACGAGTAGCTATGGGTAAGACTTCCCGAGCTATGCTGCACGTCAGCAAGAAGAAACGACCACTAGGCACCAGCAAGTCTTTGCTCTCCGACATACAAACTCCTGTCATACAAGAGGAAGTCTCCCAGAACGTCATGCTGTCCATTTGACCAAGTAACGGACGTGTACGCGCAGGACAAGTCACCACGGCACCTCAGTCTTCCGAAGTGACAATTGGCTTCTCCCGTCCAGGCATCCTCACCCTGCACCCTGTATACCCACCGCGATCTTCATTTTTCTGATGATGCATTTCCTTTGCAGAGTGTCCTCTGTGAAGCCTAACGTCTTGATCCAGCACAACGAGCCAGCCAGGAGATAAGGTATGTAGTGGAGGTAGAAGACCGAAGCCAATCTCCGTACAGATATCTTTGCAAAGTCAGAAGAACTCGAATCGACAGTCGAATCTTCTGTCACTTTACTAAGATCGTCGCACAAATCAATTGGCACCTTCAAGCGCAGATTCAATTCGTGTGGGTTTGGAATCACATGACATCTGGACCATTCAAATCTGAGCGCTCAGAAGAAAAACAGCATCATTGTCAGGACGGTCTCGACAGTTTTCTTCGAAAGACACCCCGACCTCTCATGTAGCCTCCAATACACTATCGTACATGTTTTGTGCTTTCAGTCGCGATCTGCGATTTCACTCATCCCCCACCACAAAAATCATGGTGTGTGCGTGAGGTGCTCGTCATGCGTCGTGATACGCCGTGGATGATTGAGTTTGGGAAGCAGGATTAGTAATTCTTCATGAGACATCGGACGGTTGAGCGTTGACATCACGTTATTTCAATGATAGCATTTCAAGTGAGAGAACGCGATGGACACGAAAAATAATGAAAATATAAATGTAGATGAGAACTAACTCTCTGGGCCGACAGTTTGTTTGTTACAAGTAAGCATATCAGCATTCTCATCACAACAACATCCGGCTAGTCACCAACCAAGAAACGCTTGGTATGAGGTAAATGATGGCCATAGGACTGATTGGATGCGTCGAGGGCTGTCGAATATTGGTCATGCGCTTGGCCGGCTGCAGTTTCAAACTGACTTTCACACAATTAAAAAGTTGATGGTGATACACTTGACTGGGCATTGACTGATTGACTCCATGATGTGCTGCACCAGAAAAAGCCTAAACCTGGAAAGAAACTATTCCGCTTGATACGGTGGTCGCACGAAAGGCTTGCCTAGTACTTGAGCGAATAGAATGTAAACTCTGCATTGGAGGCAACGAACCGCCGCGTTGGGAGTACATGTGTTGGGGTTTCTGATACAAAGATGGGTAAATTTGAACGATCCGAGAGCACCGAGCTCGCATTTACCACCTACCTGTGAAGCCTTCTCTCGTGCATTCTCATTTTTGAGCATCAGCCCGCTGAGGACAGTGCACGTTATTGTGACCGTACTCGCGACCATTTTCGGCTAGCGTGTTACGCCGTCATATACGACTGTCGGTCTGCCAAGTGCCGAGATGATCATAGATCACTGTTTAAGAGCACTGATGATGTACAGTTGTGTACTGGAGTCTACATGAAAGGTCGGGTAGTCTTTCGTAGGGAGGCTGTCTAGACCGTTCCATCATTGTTGGTACAGTCATTCCTCGACTAACTCATGTCCTCATAACTCGTATAACTCATACGAATAGCGTTCCATCACGCTCGGTCTATGGTCGCTGGCTCATAAATCCTAACTCATAACCAGCAGGAATTTATGCGTTTTCCTAGGGGCAACAATATACGAGGATGCTTCTGCGCAAAGGAAACCATATTCCTGTACAAAAATGCACAACTAAAGGGAGGTTCTAAGTGTCTGAGTGTACTGGACAAGTGATGCAGGAATTCGGGGTTTTTTGAGTGGTGGCAGTCATACGGATGGACATCTGAAGTACCATCCGCTTGGCCGTGAAGACAATAGAGAATCCGAGCCTAATAAAAAGGAGAATAAACTGTTCGAACTGAAAATTTTAAACTCCGCACTTCTTCTTGGAGTCAAGTCAACTCTGACCTTCTTGACACGCTCAATCACTTTCTATGAAACAGTCTCCTCTAAATCATGTTGCAAATAGGCATAAATCATTTTCAGCAAAGTACAACGTAAGAATTCTATAATAAGAATTCTTAATCCTCACACATTAGTTTTGTCCATGTTGAAAACATCGTGGGGCTCATAGCAAGCAATTTCAGCTCTAATTTCAGCCGCCTTCATGGCTCCTTTATTTGCTGAACTACTCTCGCTATTAATCCTGACGCGGTGGAGCATGTTTCGCTGCTGGAAGCGTTGCGACTAGCCATTGAAGAACTTAACGATGTACTCGGGTAAGGCGCTCAGAAAATACATAAATCTTGACATCAATTAGTTTTGATCAGGAGAACATGCATCGTTTGGCGTTAATGCACAAAAGTTGATGAGTCTTCCTCAACCTTGGATTATGAGCTCCTCTCGGGCTTTGGGCGGATATTTTATCATCTATCATAATTTCAGATCAGTGCGCTTCTTAATTATGAGCGAGATGGCGTTCTGGGTGATCCGAAATGCAAACTTACTGTAAGCTTGATTTTCCCGAACACTTTGGCTCATTTTTATATTCTTGGCCTTGTGCTGCAAATCTCGAGCCTTTGTGCATTGGTGACAGTACTTGGAACATGGTTACAAGAAATGTAGAAGGGGAAACCGCTAGTTTACTAGTTTCCCCTTTAGCACAAAAGAGTCGATTGGAAATTCACGTAGCTCAAACCTCGGCTGATTCATAAAATTTGTCTCCACCGAGCCTATGAGTTATCCGAGGAGTGACCATAATCCGATTGAGTAAACCTAGTCTGATGCTGGTCATGACCATAACCAGGTGAACCTGCGCTAGTACTAGGGGTAACTCCGAATACACCAACAATTATTGCTAAATACACCCACAGGATTTATAGGCTATCCATTCAATTTAATCAAAGAAGAACAATTAATGATGAGAGAACATACACTATTGAGCAAGAGAACGTCCACTATTTAGCCACGGATAGGTCTTCCTTTTAATCTTCATAACTTTAACGTCTACATGACGATGAGCCATCACATATACACATCCGGTGGTGCAGCTCACGAGGTTATACCTTCAGTTGCTCCTGTCTTGGTCTCCACCGCTAGTGGTGATGCTGTCATCAATGACGCTGGAAACGCTGATGCAGACACTGCTGCTACTGCTGAACCTTTAATTTCCCCTCCATTACAGAGTTGTGAAGATCCCCTTTCAGTCGGACCATTCCGAAAGTCAAGAGCAAGCTGTCCTGACCGTCAAGCAGTTCGCCGTGAGCCAAGGTTTTGCTGTCAGAGTTTCCCGCACAAGATCGCGCGTCATCAAGCGCGTTCAACTCGGTTGCTTGCAAGAATAAGACACTATCACGGATCTCGTAAACCGCTGATGCGCTTGCGAGACCGTGGAACGATATGAACTCGCTATCGCCTTTAACAAGAAGCTGTCCGAAGATAGATTATGGCTGACAATATGTTTAAATTATTGTCACACTGGCCATTCCCGATGTATTACCAAGACAATGCTGTCGGCACTACCAGTGGCGAGACGCGTGTCAAGGGAAGAAGACAAATGGAGGCCATGGTCGTCCAGATGCATCAGTCTGGAGCTGCTCCACGGGTTTGTGTGCTTACGTGGTATTCTTACCTTTCAATTGAGCGTGTGTTGTATCTATTTGTTATTTTGGATAGGTTATACTGAACCACTTGAAGGAGGCACGTGTCATTCTACAAGAACCTGACACGCCTGTGCAACACACGACAATTCCGCGATGATCCTTACAGCTAAATGTAAACAGTCAAGCCTTGATGTTACGACTCCATCTGTGCTGCACACGACGATTTTACGTCCATCCGTTCTAGTCCAAGCTCCACCGCCACGGTATCAGCCTGATCTTGCTTTGTCGCAGTTGGACAATACTTCGAAATAGACACTGTCCCAACTTCGAAGGTCGTAAATTTGCGAAGTGCAATAGATTCGGATGATAGAACTGCATCGGATATTCAGTGTAGTGGACGTTCTCTTGATCAATAATGTATGCTCTCTCAGCATTAATTAGTCTTCTTTGTTTGAGTTAAATGGATAGCCTATAAATTATGTGGGTGTATTTAGCAATAAGCGTTGGTGCATGTTGAGGTACCCTGTCTTTAACAATACCCTAAAAGTAGACCTGATTCATGAAGCATCACCAGAAGATGTGCCGAGTTCAAATCATCGGCGATACTGTCACTTGACTTGACGTTAAGACGATGATACGTCGTGCCTATCTTGTGGTTGTTACCTGCGTCGTCGGACCAACCATCGAGAACCGACTCGAATGAGGTACTGCACGGGCATTGGCTGGAATCGACGGACTGACTCGATCGGTGGCTCGCCCGAGTCGCCAACTCGCTGTCCATCACTTTCCAATCCACTCCCCTATCGACAAGTTCATTCCAAGAATGCGCATCTATGGCCTCGTCCTTCTGATCCCCACCGCTCTTTTGGCCCGTGCCGACAACGACTTGGCACCCGCAAGCTTCAATCTGACAACGCCCCACCCTCCGGCGGGTGCTCCGTCGTTAGACACCAACGACGACGACAATTCTGCCACGACGCCGTCCACGAGTGATGGTGGTCTATCGGACACGGATGAAAGGATGTCGATGGATTTTGAGAAGTCGACCATATTTTCGGCACTTCCTCGGATGGTCAAGATGAAGCCGGAGAAAAGCAAGGAGGCTGCTCTTAGCGACTTAGTTCGGTCGTTTTACGAAGACCTTCCTCTTTACGAGCTCAGGGCTAAACTCGATTCGAAAGAGTGGAAGAAGTTGTACAAGCGCTACAAAGGGTCTGAGACGCCGCTGATCAAAGAACTTACCGGACACCTCCGTGTCCAACGTGTGGCACAGGTGCTTCAGAAGGGATTCGCGGGCAAGGCGCCGCGAGACTGGCTTGGCAGAAGACGTCCAACTCTCGAGCAAAAGCTGGCAAGGGACCAGATGGAAAGCTGGAAAAAGAGTGGCAAATCCCTCGACGAACTTTTCGGCGACCTTAACATCGTCGGCAAGAATACACGCGATGACGGACTTGCTAAAACCCTTTTTTGGTCTGAAGATGTAGACAATTGGAAAGTGAAGGTGGTGGAAGCCTACAGCAAGTACTTCTATACCAACGAAAAAGAAGCCGAGAAAGCCTATCTTAATGCTCTTCGGAAAGGCGTTGGCGGGGACAAAGCGTTCTTTACGATGTTGCAATTTTGTAAACCTCATACGAATTTCGCTGTACAAGCGAACAAGCTGGAGGATATCTATCTACGAACGTGTATTGAGGATGAAATCAGCCCCGTTGACGTTTTCAAAACGCTACGACTGGATCAACCGGGTACGGTGCTGTTTGACGAGACGGGCTTGAGTAAAATGGAGAACTACGTTCAGCAGTTTAATGATCGTTGCAAGGACGAGCATACGACTGTATTTGCGGTACTAGACAAGGCGATGGGGGAAAAACTTCCTTCTGCACTCGCAGAGGCGCACAAGATCATCCCTCAGTCGCCGAAACTTCACTTGTATGCGGACGAGTTTGTCAAGTCAAGGAACTTCGGACAGACGGCTTCCTCCAAAGAAGCTTTGTTCTCATTTATAGCAAAGCTCGACGGGACGTGATGTCCAAATTGCGATCGAAAACATGAAAAGAGGAATCGTCGGGGATTCTAAGAAGTGACACATTACGTCGGGGTGTGTAGGGCAGTTCAGGATGCGTGGTAGCCGTAGCTATTTGAACCGTTTGAGCGAGGATTATACATTGATTTACACCTTACGTCGTGTGATTTTATCCATTCAATGCTCACTTCATTGTTCGCTACTGCTACTTGCAATCGACTTGTTCCATCGTAGTTCATACCAGTAAGGCGCGTGGACACTCCGGCTGCTGCAATCGCTCGAAATTGGGAAGCACTATTTGGTGCAGTAGTTTCCAGATTGTTGCAGTGCCTAAAGCTGTCATACCGTGATCACTTCGGACCTCAATCGTGAAGAGATGCGCAAAAGCTGGGATTCAATGAGATGCTGAGCGGTTTCTCTCACGATGCTGGATTCATTTCGTTCCACAAGCTTGTAGGATGGCAGTGTAGACCAATCGACACCTACCGTATAACAATTCTTTCAATATTGCTTGCTTCATCCTGCTCGTCGATCGTAGTGTCTGGTCGACAGGTACTATGCTCGTCGTGCCCGGAAAATGTATCGGAATCTTGAAACGTCACGACTGCAGACTCGGTGATCAAACGAAACTGGAATCTAAAAGAGACCAAAACATTGATTAGCTTTTGTGATGCGTTCACCGCTGCCGATGGGTCTCTTATGTAAAGTTCGCGAAGAACTATTGCGTCACATCACTTCTGCGCTACATGCAAGCGTCAAAACTGAAACGAATACGTCGAGCGACTAGCTAGTGCGTGGTCACAAGAGCCCAGTACCAATTCCTCGCTCAGTTTCACTTTTCAGATTCTCTCAATTCTTGCGCCTGTCATAGCTAACGGCGATGATGCACGCTTCAAACATATGCCGCTGCCAGCATGATCAGTGCAGCTTAGAGGATGCTCTACGCTTGGCTGACTCCTCATGTCCGATCTACCAAAGTCCAAAGCACACGTCACGTTACTATATTCTTAGTGGTAGAATTCAAACGTCGTGTCTGCCTGCTTGATGGCATTCTTGTATCCCTTATCAAAGTCCTTGGGCAGCACGACGTAGCGATTCTTCCGCACTGCTTGCAGACCTGCTTCCTGGCAGATTGACGCAATGTCGGCCGAGCTGATCTTCTCTGGACGATTTACGTAATCTTCGAGATCCACCTCGTCTCCGAGATTCATCTTTGCTGTACAAGCCTGGTAGATCAGACGCTTTTGTCGTCGATCCGGCAGCGGGAATTCAATCTTGCGGTCCAAGCGACCAGGACGAAGCAGAGCCGGGTCCAGCGTGTCGGCACGGTTCGTGGCCATGATGACCTTGACGTTCGTTGCTTGGTCGAAACCGTCCATCTGGTTGAGCAGCTCCAGCAAAATCCGTTGCACTTCTCGATCTGCTCCGGTTTGGGCATCAAAGCGCTTGGTTGCAATAGCATCGACTTCATCAATAAAGACAATCGCAGGCGAGTTCTCTTTCGCCAGACGGAAGACGTCTCGGACCATCCGTGGACCTTCGCCCAGGTATTTCTGCACAAACTCTGAGCCCACGACGCTGATGAAAGCAGCTGTCGTGGCATTAGCCACTGCTTTAGCCAGCATCGTCTTCCCTGTACCAGGCGGGCCGTACATGAGCACGCCGCGGGGCGGGTCCACACCAATCTGTTTGTACAGATCAAAGTGGGTAAGCGGCAGCTCCACGGCCTCCCGCACCTCCTGCTTCTGGATGTCCATGCCACCAATGTCCGAGTACGAGACGTCAGGGCGCTCTGACATTTGCATCATCTGGATACTCGAGTCCGACTCCGGGGGGAGCACGTCCACGACAGCGTGCGAGTGCCGATGCAGCGCCACCGAAGAGTTGGGCTTCAGCCGCTCGCGGTCCAAGGTGCTTAGGATGCGCACGTAATAGTTGGAGCCGGCCGTGGAGCCGACGATGCCGTAGTTGGCGTCCACCATCTCCAGGAACTGGCCAATGACTAGCGGGACCGACTGGATCCGCTTCACCTCTTCCTTGGCCCGAATGAGCTCCCGCTTGAGGTTCTTCATCTCGTCCTTGATGTAGCCCTCTTGGATGTCCAGGAACTCCAGATGGCGCTCGAGGGACTTGAACTTGGCGTACAGGTCCGTCTTCGTCTCGATGGACACGGGCACCAGCGGCTCCTCGTCCAGGACGATGACGACGACGGGCAGTCCGATCTCTTCCATGGTGCGACTGGAGTGTCGATGGGATCGAATGCGTGAGATTGTGTGGTGCACGTTACACTAGGCAGCAACGGAAGGGCGGGCCATGATTGGATTGTAGGACGAGTGCCTTGCATGAGCTATTCGGAATGTGCGAAAGACAAAAGAGGAGCCACCGGATCGAGAGGATCCCGGATCTTCGACATTGCATCCTAGTTTCTGTCCTGCTTGTAATGACTTGGCTCCTTTCCAGCAAGAGATGCGAACATCGATCGATTGGGGATTACAGAACAAAACAAGACGCCTCACTCGTTACAACTTCGATGTTCAGGATCGAGAATGTAATTAATTGCCCAAAAGTCGATATTGTAACCGCTCATGCTCGCCGAGGAGTGCAAGTCAACACGCATCGTTGAATAGTTCTCGTGCCAAAGCTGTGTTAGCTGGTTGATCCATCGTCCAGGTACGATCCCGTCATTCATGGCTATGCTATCGTTGTAAAATCTGGCTGCCAACATAAGAAGTCCTGCCTCTAGCATTCTAACGTGTCACGCACGCCAGCTAGGCGGGGCTGAGTGCGATGGCTGCAGCGACGGAGAGCACATACGCTTCTGAGAGCAAAGGCACAGGGACGAGTCCATTGAGGAGCACGAGGTGCTCTAAGGGTACGAAATATGTCGCGCTGGTAATGATGAATTATCACGCAAGAAACTAGAGTATCAACGGGGTGGCAAATAACTCCTGAACGAGAAATCTTCGACGTCAAAGCAAGCACTTGCGATCGTCGCCTGATTGTCAAGTGCGCGATGTAAAGAAGACGACGGCAGTCTCTTCTGCAGCCATGATGTGCGGTCACAGAACATTTTCGATGCACGACTAGTTGATTTTCAGCATCAAGTTGGAAGTACAAGTCTCGAGCATGTTGTCGTTCAGAGCATTCAGACTTCTGCAAAGTGTGGTGTAGTTCTCTGCCGTCGCTTAACGTCGCAATGCTTCCTTCTTTACCACACAAGGTTGCCAGTCAATAAGCTCATTGACCCTCTTCCACAAATCCGGTATGTCTTGCCGAGTGGCTGTAGCTGAAACAGTGTAGACGAACGATAGGCGAAGCAGGTTGCGGTCAGACTACGGCAAATACCTCCTCTGCCCCTTTCATCCTTGTTTGGCACAGGTTGCCTAGCCGCCGTTGCATTGATGGAGTTCAGCAAGGCCCGCTAACAGCTCGGCACCAGTTCATCAGAGCAGGCAGCAAGCCGGACCAAAGCAACGCAGCGTTGCTATCTTGACCATGCCGTCGCATTTCTGCCAAGTCCAATGCAGTTCTGATACACCTGCCACGAGTAGATACCATCCACGTGCTGAATGCCGAGCCAGTACCACCGGAGGGTGCACGAGTCTCCGCACGAGCTGTAGTCCACCTGATGCTGTCCGTGCGGGAATTCCGTGCGACAATTGCGGCCTGATACCACTTGCGTGTCATCGAGCCAGACCTCGCAGGGGCCGTCCAGCGTGTAGCCAGAGCTCTCAAGTGTGCCATTCGCCGGAATGTCCTGCCAAGTCTCGGACGGAAGGCGCGTGAAGCCGCAGTCAAAGAAGGCGTCTTTGGACACGTGGTACAGCGACCGATCGTCCAGCATCGCGCGTAATGACACGTAGCCGTGCTCTTGTTCCCAGCTTTGAGCTTTAATGCTCGTGTCAATGCCTTGCTCCTGTAGAGAGGCAAGTGCTTCTTTGCCTTGGATGGGTGGATCGTCCACAATGAAATGAGGCGACGGGTGAAGCACGAGTTGGCCTTCGCTCAGATCGTTGCTGGTGAGTCACTGGCCTGTGACGATACGGACAGTAAGAGAGCGAGCAGGTGAGACAGAGCTATAGGGGACTCGGTCTCATGGTGGTCAAAGTGCAAGTGGTCGACGTGCGGGTGTCGTCGAAAACGCTCTTGCTACCGACTGGGAGCAGAAGACGAGATCAAACAAGTTGTCACGATCTCACATAGCGTCGTTTCGATGTTATGCTTACAAGAGTCATCCTGTAATGCAAGCGAGGAACTAGTAGCGACTCATGGCGTCCTGAAAGTCTGCAATGCTGCGCCGATTCTCAGCTCGATCTCCCTTCCCGCTAAGGATTTGTGGAAAGAGCGTCATTACTCAGCGCTTGCCTCCCATCAAAGCAGCCAAGCTTCTCAAAAGAGCGGCTTAGCAACTTGGCCTCCGTCAACTACGTCCTTCTCTCCCCCCTCCTTTTACCTCCTCGTGCCAAACCAGTAATCGCCGTACTCCACCAAAGATGAACGCGTGACTAGAAGGACTTTGGAGGAAAGCAGGGGGCTTAGCCTCAGCATCCTCCGCCAGTTGTCGAGTCACCACTGCTCTTTGTCGTCTCTAGCGTCGTAAATGCCTCGGCCGTCGTCGGATGAATGCCCACGGTGTCGACCAACTGGTCGTACGTAAAACCAAGCTTCATCGCCAGACCCATGGCCTGCGTCACTTCGCCCGCATTCGGCCCCAGGTAATGAAAGCCCAGCACGAAACTATTGCGGGTCTTGTCGCAAACCACTTTCACGTAGCAGGACTCAGCTGCGAGGCGGGTCTGCTCAGCGAGCGACCATTCCAACGGAACAAAGTTCTTGTGGTACACCTCCATACTGTCGTCGCCGTACTTCTCCTTGCTGTCCTCCTCTGATAAACCGCAGCAGCCGTACTCAATCGGCGTGAACACCGCCGTGCAAACTTTGTCGTAGTCCATCTGCGCAGTACCTTCGTTGTACAGACGACGAGAAAGTAGACGCCCCGCTTGGATCGCTACTGGTGTGAGCTCTGGCGCGTCAATGACATCGCCAATGGCATAGACGTTCGGTGTCGTGGTCTGCTCATTATTCACCCAAATGCGGCCCGTCTTCTCGTTCAGCTTTACACCAGCCTCATCCAAGCCAAGCTTGGCAACATCAGGATCACGGCCCGTCGCATTGAGCACTGTGTCAAACGCTTCCTCACAACAATCACCATCTTCCGTTGTCCACTTTACCAGCAGCTGACCGCTATCGAGCTTTGTGATGGATTGTGGAACCGTCTTGCGAATGAACTCGATGCCTGATTGCATCTCCATGTACTCTCCAATCTTGCTAGCCATATCCTGATCAAAGCCACGAAGCAAGATGGAGCGCACCATCACCTTCACAGTGTAGCCCATCCCCTTCAGGAAGCCCGCACACTCGAGCGCTACATACGAAGCGCCCACGACCAACGTCTTGCCAGGTTCCTTCTGCTTCATCCAGAAGATGTCATCACTCGAAACTGCAAGCTCGCCGCCCACACACGCCAGCACCCTAGGTCGGCCACCCACAGCGATGACCACATGTCGGGTAGTGATCTGCTTCGTGCCTTTCTTTGGATGCCACAGCTTCAGTGTGTGTGGATCCACGAACGAGCCGAGGAAATTCTCATACTTCACTTGCTTGCTGCGGAGCTCTACCTTGTACTTAAAGCTGATGCTCTTAATGTAAGAGTCAACGTTCGACACGAGCTGCTTCCAGTCAAACGTCGGGACCTGCCCATTCACGCCCCCGACGTTCCAACCGAAGCTCGCACAGTCATGGTACAGTATCTCGCCGATCAATGAGCTTTGGTGCATCAGTTTCTTTGGGATGCAGCCAACGTTGACACACGTGCCGCCAAGACCCCAAGACGTTCCTTGAGGAGACGGTTTCACGTAGTCGAGCACACACACCTTTTTCCCGAATGAAGCAGCCTCCTTAGAGCATGCCAAGCCCCCGGAGCCCCCACCAATCACCACCAGGTCGTAGTCGTAGCTCACCTCGTCCTCTACAACAATCGGAGGTGCCTTCGACTCATTCAATTCAGAAGCACTAGCAGTGTCGTTCGTTGGAGCAGCAGCATCAAGTGTCTCCCCATCTTTTGCACTTTTAGTTACGTCTTGGATATTCCCGACAGCGATGCCCGACCGGAAAACCGCCAGTAGATCGTCGCAGCCGCCCACAAACGTCGTGGGGTTACTGATCCATACAAAAGGTGACGTCACATGCGTCGTAGCTTTAGAGTCGAGTCCAAACTGTGTGACAAAGTCTTCATACGACGTGCTGAGCCACTGCTTGAAGGCGTTTCTGTCCTCGAACGCGTGCGTCTCCATGGCCACACGGTCTGGATACATCACGTGCATGGCCGCCGCCACCTCCTTAGCCTTCACGAAAGAGGGACCTATTGATAATGAGCGAGTATGAGCCACAACTCGGCCTGGTGTTGCAATCATTGACGACTCCTTCCCCTACATGTTCTCCAGCCTGCGATGTGGTAAACCGACGCGGACGAGTCCGACGCCATCGCCAGCGACTTGTTCAGACTACAGGACACAGGGAAACGGAGAAGAGGCACGAGAGGTTAGTAGCAGCTTCTTTACACCAGCGGGGGACTGCACAGACGAACGCACTCGACGCCTGACGCCATTTTCTTGCGCTTATGGCCGACTGCATCCATGCAGGACGCCTGCAAACCGGCATTGAACTCGTGACTTCTGATTGGTCAGAAACACGTATAGGCGTCTAGTTGATGACAGGGGTACGTTTTGGGGCATCAGCCGCTGCGACAAACAGAAAGTTTCTCCTTTCCGTGGGACGAGACGATTGCTAGGGGCTGAAATCTTGCTACAAACTGGTAGTATACGCGACCACAAACTGACCACAAAGACAGTTTGAGATAGGGCTCCGTCCCGCGCAGGGTGGGACGGAATTGGCCTATCAATCCCGTCCTGGGCAGGATGGGACGCAGGATACTGCGCAAAAAACTTTTACCCTACATATCTCTCGAAGCGACCGGTCCTGCATACACATGACCGCCTCCGTATGTGCTAAGGGTACCAAAGAATGAGAATAATAGTGAAACGGTAAAATACTTTTCCCTGCGATCAAACCCTAGCTGCTATAACAAATATAGACGCTACAAGTACAATTTAGTGGAACAGAATGTCTGTTCCACTCGATCCTACTCGGTGCCAAAGATGGCGTACCCATGCAAGCAGGGCTTGCTAGTAGCGAATTATGAAGATCGACCACAAGCATCTGTTGAAGATCGGGATGAAGAGCCACGATGTGCGGCACGACATGTCAGATCAAGTTGGTGTCGGCGACTGTTTGCATGTGTATAAGAGGACAGTCGACAGATGAAGGGGCTGCAAAGATGGGTGAAGAAGCTTGCAGTTACCAACAGACAGGAAGCGCGTCATCGGAGTGGTGGCGAATGGTAGCGCAGCGACAGAGAGTCGACCTAGTAAGAGCGGCAGATACAGAGACATAGTGTGCGAGATAGCGAGCAGAATAGCTAGGACAAAACGGCACAGTTTAAATATCAGTTTTCCTTTCTACCTCATCAAGTGCAAGCTCAACATTGGCTAACAGGTTATGAGCCCAAACCAAATGGCTCCTCCGACTGATGAAATGACGATTTCCGCACCTGCAGACACGGCCACGAAAGGGCCGCCGTTGTTAGCGATACCCAAGCCCACGAAAGGGGTGGGGGGACCGACGAAAGGATCCTCACAATGCTGACTGTGTGGCAAAGTCACTACTCAAATTTTGTACGAGGATCGGTGGCCACATCTTTAAAGCGCCGCTTACTGGTGGAAAAGGAGGCCATGAGACTCGGCGATCCAATACGGAGGTGGAAGATGATCTTAACGGGATCGGCGAACCGATCCAACTGTCGTTAGACTAATGGGTATGGATCGACCTGGGACGGAGCGATCTGGAACGATTTACATGGAACAATCTGGGACAAGGATCTGGGACCGGGTGATGGGATATGACTCTGCGACGAAGGTGTAACTGTGGTAAAGTCACTAATCAAATGATGGGACGTGGATCGGTGTCCACCCAGTTAAGATGTCACCCACTGGCGGAAGAGGTACGCCTAGGACCAGGCGATGCAACGTGATTTGAGACGGGGCGTAGAAAGGGGGTGATTCCAACGGTGCGATCTGGGACGAGGGACTGGATTGAACCAAACGACCACTCTAAAGGCTGATCAAAGGAAAGGATGTGGATGTTGAAGCAGAATCATTTTGATAAAGCATCGGAGTGCACACAATGAACGGAAGAACATATATGGCCGGATTGTACTGTGTCGATCCTCAACAATCTCGAATTGGGCATCAGATCGGTCATGATCCCCACTGATTATGGATGTATCGTTGATGAGAATTTTGGATCATGACAAACATGCTTGTTGAAGGTCCATGAGTGATGTCTCAAAAGTTCAGATCGAAAGAGCCAGTGGAAGCCGGTTAAATTGACGTCGCAAAATGGATTTAGACGCCTTCGGCATTTGGGCACTATTTTGGGCTTTTGGGTACCAAAAATGGGTATTTTGTACCCCATTTGGGATTTGGTCCTCTTTTGGCGTTCAGGTACGGTATCGAGAATATTGGCGCTATCATTGGAGTACAGGGCACGAAATTTCGACACGTGTTCAAGGGGGGGGGTCAAGCTTAAAGGTGATATCGACTTGGAGAGTGACCTATAGTTGGGAATAGGCTTAAGGATAGGTTGGCTATTAATTTGGTTGGTTAATAAACAGACTTGAACTCTACTTCTTCTGCTCACGACGCACGTTATCCCCCCCTCTTCTCCAGGCAAGATTGATTTGGCTTCCCCGGCGGGTTAAGGCACGCGTGTTACAGGGACACAGAAGACCGATCTTGGATTGTTGGCCAAGATCGAGAAGAGCGATCCCGGGATATCTGGCCCGGATCGATCAAGTACTCACACTCAACTCAACTGCTAGGGTAGCAGCACACAACGGAAAAGGAAAAGGATTTTGGACACAAGATCGCGAGACGGCTCAAGTGGTCAGAAGATCTGGACAAGGCGTTCAAGACAAGACCGAGCAGGATCGAAGCGATTCCCTGGACAGATCGGCACGTTTCATTTTGGCGAAACAAGACACCGATCTACCCAAATTGCGCACTTCCGGCAAGATCGGCCGATCCCAAGACCAGATCGGACCGATCCCAAGGCAAGATCGACGCAGGACTTTTATTTGCTGAGTGAAGATTTCCGCACAGCAAAGACCCCGATCTCGAAGACAAATCAAGATCGGTGCGATCCAAGATCGGGATCGCAGAACCCCCGTTCGTGGTGTGAAGATTTCCGCACCGGAAGCGAACCCTCAACCCAACCTCTCAGCGAGATCGACATCTCCCAAGGCCGTTACGAAGAGCTCAAGCCAGCCCAACCGACGGGTACACAAGGTGAGCACAAGGTCATACAACAAGGCACGGATCGGAGTACCCCCTCCGTGAGTCGGCAAGTCTGGGCAAGTGGAAGATCGACACTCATACAAGCAATTTTGTGAGATCGACTTCACCACAATGGTGCGCATGCCCGGATTCGAACCAGGGATTTCACCGTGAGTCCACTGGCGAAGATGTCAAGATTAAGCAAGAACCTGGGATTGAAGTCTCAGCGACAAAGGGATCGACGCAGACACGCAGAAGCACAAGATCCTCAGATCATCAGAGTTTTGGGAGGGGCTCTGATGAAATGAAAATGAAAGAGGAAGATCGAGAGATCGATCTGGAAGATAAACCTCAATTCCCTCCTAGGGTCCCTTCGGGGGCCACCGCAGATCGCTCTGCAAAGAGCGATCTGCTGGATGAAAATCCAATGGTGAAAACCAAATCGGCGAAAGCCAAACCCTATATCTTAGTCGATAGATCGCCCGACCTCAAGCCGAAGAGCACAATCGCGAGATCGACCACATCAGAACGATCCGCGACGAGATCCATGGGATCAGATGTCAAAGATCGCCAGATCGGCCGAACCGTGCAACCAAAGATCGGAGCCAAAGAGGAATACGATGAAACACCAGATAAGATCACGATGCCAAAGAAGGAATATAACCCAATAAAGATCGCGTCCAGGGAGAAGGAGACGACGGGTGAAGCGCGGGAGCGTGCAAAATGGCAGTACTATTATGGCCAGTTGAAGACGCTGCTCAAGACGGACCCAGTGTTCAAGATATTAAGGCCCAAGGTGATTGGTCCTCTGGATAAGCCGATCTCGGTCCCACTTCACGGGACCAACAAAGTCGACGAGATCAATTTGATTTTGCAGATGTTGGACGACATGGGTATCTGCCCTGACGCTTTTGATGGAGATGAACTGCTGAGTTGCAGCTTGGAACAGTTGAAGGACGCGGCGAATGAGTTTGTAGAGATCATGATAATGATGGTGGGCAAAGCGAATACTCCTGAAGACAAGATCGGGACGCCCTCGGGCTCGCTCCGTAAACACCCCGCGGGATCGCCCCGCTACGCCTCGGATGACTCCGAGAGCGAGTCAGATGGATCCATCAGCATTCGTCAGATGTCTCTAGGACCATCGGGTGGAAGGTTCTTAAAGGAAAAGATCGGACAAGCCAAGATCGACGCCTACAAGGGACAAGCCAAGAGCAACATGCCGCAGAGATCAACAAGTACCCGCACTGGGCTGGAGGATCAAGAAGAGGGCGATCTAAGTCGGTACTTCAATTCAGCCATGAAGAAGTACGAGGCGGATCAACGTACAGCTCAGCAAATGAATCGACAGCCAAACCGCTACCCAGATCGACGTACTTTGCTCCAACCTTCACACGAAAGCCTTGACATGCCGGATGTGGAGATGGAGTCGGTGGGGTCGGACATTTACCAACATATCCATGAGGCGGCGGAATACGACCCGGATGATCTATGGATGCCCGAACCACGGCGCCCTCATGTAGCCGCGACCGGTGCGACTACCGGAGGGGGAAGCATCACGCAGAGGATCAGAATCTCAGCGATTTCTGAGCTGAAAGAATATTCAGGGAAGGATCGGGAAGAAGACAAAGCACGAAACTGGATCGGCAAAGTGAAATCAGCGTTTATCCGGGACCAAGCACCGGACGAGGAGAGATGTCTGGTCTTCGGTGATCTCATGGTGGGCCCAGCCCGCTACTGGTACCGACAGCTGAGTAGATCGACGAGATTCAATTGGAAAGAATTGATGAACAGTTTTCTTGTGGAGTATGCGGGACACGGGATGTCCGCGAGCAGGCAGTACTACCATGCAAAGAAACGATCGGAGGAGGATCCTTTACAGTGCCTGTATCGGCTTAATGTGATGGGAATGCAGGCGAAGATACCGGTGATGACTGGATTGCCAGCTGCGCGCAAGGAACATGTCAATCATTTCATTGACACCTTGGACGACCCCGATCTGTCCAATCAATTGCTACTGCTGAATGTAGAAGACGCGGAGGCCATGCAAAAGACACTGCACGGATATCAACAAGGGAGATCGCGTCAAGGGAAAGTGATGATGGGATCGTCCAAATTCAGGCAGAAGGGAACTCAGGGTCCAGCGCTGTCTAAGCCTGCACGAGCGGTAAGGATGGTCCGTACCGAGGACGTCTGCAGCGAGTCAGGATCGGACACCTGCGGATCGGATTTGGAAGATCGATTGAGATCGATCCATGTGGCTGCTACTGCGTATCGCCGTTCATCCCCCAATGACGTTGCAGCAAACGCGAGATCGGTCGACCCGAACACTCGTCAAGACTATCAAGATCGCAATATGCCATTGAAGCCGTGTACTCATTGCGGATCGACCAAGCATGGAGATCTCGGTTGCTGGAAGCGGCTCACTTGCCAGAAGTGTGGGCGTAAAGGACACCCCTCTGACAATTGTTTTTTCGTGTGTCGTGCGTGCGGTGAGATGCACGACCCGGGGAAGTGTCCCATGGAGGAGTTCTATAACATGATTCGTCAGTGGTACGTCCCGAATAAGCATGCGGGGATGCTACCAGAGAAGGCCGAGAAGATGTTAAACTAGGACGCTCGCCAGGTTTGAATCTGGTACGAGCCGAGCGTTCTGGGCTCTGCATTATTGCATACGTGAAAAAAAAGAAGACAGATCGCGAGAGTAAGCAGGATATTGACGTGGAAACAAATATATCTCGTTCGAAGTTAAAACGTGTCGCTTCCGTGTCCCATCTGAAGCGGATCGATGAGTACTCACGATCTGAACCAGCTATGGAGGTCGAGCTCGCTTATGGTGAATCTCGCGGATACTGGAAACATTATTCACCCGGGAAGTGGTTCAAACAAGCAAAAGCCGTTGGCAAGATCAACAACGTAAAAGCTACTCTGTTATTTGATTCTGGTGCTGAAGTGTCAATCATTGACACCACCTTTGCTCGTGAGGTCGGTTGCAGTATTGACGAAAGTCAACGACAAGAATGCATCGGGATTGGAGAAACTCCGTACATGACGGTAGGACGTACCAAGATCAAGGTGACCCTCGCGGGATCGCTGGTATACTATTTCAATGTATGGGTAGGCGATCTGGCAGGGCAAGAAGCGATTCTGGGTATGGATTTTATGGTGCCTGCTGGAGTGCGGCTCGATCTAGCGGATGGCGCGCTATGTCTACCAGAAGAAATCCGCATTCATCTCGCAGGACGCCGCCCCGCGTACGGATCGAAGATACAACATATAACGGCGAAGGACCAACACGTGGTGATCCCGGTCGGAGAGTCAAGGGAAGTGAAGATCGGGATCGGAGGGGCTAAGATGAAGTTGTGGGTCGCTAGAGGACTTGATTGGGTCCCCACTGTGATCTCGGGGTGGGGTAAGACGAAATACCTGCAGATGACCAACATTGGCGACCGTGAGATCATACTGCCCACCCACACTATATTAGGCATGTGGGTCGAAGGCGATATGGTACCGCGAACCCAAGGTTTGGTGACAGTCGGTTCGGGGAAGTACAAGGAATGGCAAACTCTGGCATATGAGGCTACGACGGATCGAGTGAACGAACTCCCGAAAGAACCGATCGGACCATTGGTAGATCGTCCTACGTATGCCGCTCCCAAACTCATCTTGAAACGTCCGTCTGATGCGTTACAGAACCTGTCTCCGGCGATCTCCACGGTAACGCCGCAAGCTAACGATGACGATTCGCAAAAGGCAGATGCTGTAGTTGCGAGGGAAGTAACGGTCAGGGGAGCCGAACTATCGCGGATGGAGAACGGTCATGAGATCGGTACCCAACATGCAACGAAGGGAGACCGCGACACCGGGCAAGAAGGGCTACGTGACAGATCGTCTCTACCGAAGGCTGAGCCGACTGACCGACTGTTGAAATTGGGCCAGCCGGAAGAGACGAAGGAGCCTAAAGAAGAAATAATGCTAAATACTGAAGACGTCGAGATTGCAGAAATACCAGTTTATCACCACGAGAACGGAGATTTGTTTGCGGAAGATATCGAGCAGCATATGGCCGTGCTACCAGAGATGTCGGCGACTACGGAAGAAGTTACGATTGAGGACATTCAGATCGGTGGCTCAGATCGCTGATCTGGAAGAGCCGTCACCTCCTCATGGGTAAAGGTAATGCTCTACCACCAGCAGCACGAGGCGCGATCTGTGATATTGATGTCGGTGGGGCAGCACCGATAGCGCAAAGAGTGCGTCCGGTCGCACCCAAATATCGGGAGAAGCTGTCAGATCTCATCAAAGGACTATTAGCAGCCAAAATCGTTCAGCCATCCACGTCACCTTGGGCGTCTCCGATAGTGGTGATCATCAAGAAGAACGGAGTGGATATTCGCCTTTGCATTGATTATCGAAGAGTTAACCAGCTGACGCGTCTGATGGTTTATCCCATGCCGTTGATCAGCGATCTGTTGGAAGATCTGGATAAAGCTCTATGGTACTGTTCGCTAGACATGGCTAGTGGATTTTGGGTCGTCGAAATGACTGAACGAGCAAAACTGATATCAGCGTTTGTCACACCGTTTGGCTTGTTCGAGTGGCTGCGAATGCCTTTTGGGCTTAAGAACGCGCCCCAGATCTACCAACGTCTGGTGGACAATGCGTTGTATGGATATCTCAAGATCGGCCAGAGATCAGCTTCTGATGGCCCGATCGACGTGTTCAAAGATGGAGAACCTGAGACAGATCGACGACCGTCTATACTGGGACGCCGATCTTACATTGACGATATTCTCATACCAGCCACGTCATGGGGATCTTTGTACACAAAAGTAGAACGGTTGCTGGAGGCATGTGATAAGTGGAATCTGTCTATAAGCCTCACGAAGAGCTTTTGGGGGTGCCGTAAGGTCGATTATTTGGGACATCGAGTGTCGATGGATGGTCTGGAGGCTCAGCCCAAGAAACTAGATTTGTTGGTTAACATCCCGTTTCCTAGCACGCTACGAGCTATGCAATCCTTTCTCGGGAGCTTGAACTACTACCGTTGCTTCATTGAGGATTTCGCGGTGTATGCCGCGGTATTGTATGAGTTAAGAGAATCGGATTTCTTCGAGATCGGCCGATCTCAGCTTGCAGCAGGAGACGAATGCTCCAACGAGGGTCGATGGACGGAAGCCAAGGTTGCTTTCACTATGCTAAAAGCTAAGATAGCTACAGCTCCCATGCTCATGCATTTCGACCCAGATCGGTCCCCCGTAATCGTGGTCTACGCTAGCAAGTGGGCTGTCTCAGCGGCCCTGATACAGGAGTACGATGGCGTGTACCATCCGGTGATGTTTACTAGCCGCACTTTAAAGCCTAATGAGCTTAACTACGGAACGGTAGAAAAAGAAGTGCTGGCGCTACTTCGTGTGTTGGATGTATGCTATACTACGCTTGCCTCGCGGGAGATCACTGTACTGACCCGACATTCTACGTTAGCCTGGTTGATGCAGTCTCGAGGGCTCAACGGGAGATTAGGACGGTGGGCTGCTTTGTTGTCAAATTGGACTATGGAGGTGAAGAAATGTGAAAGAGGAGAGGAAGAGATCCTGGGCATGTTAGCAGCGAGTATCACTCCGAGAGGAGAAGTGGAAGAGATGCTGATTGCGATCTCCCCACGAAAAGACTGTGGACTCAAAATATCGATGCCTCCTCCAACGGTGGAAACAGATGAGGAGTTGCTGGTGGCCAGTTTCGATGGATCGGCTAGGATAAAAAAAGAAAGGAGGGTCGTTCAGTGCCGTGATATGGAAGTTACCCGAATGGACGATCGTGGCGGCCGAATCGAGATATGTTCACGATCTGACTGTGAATGAAGCTGAGTATAATGGCTTGCTACTGTGCTTTGAGTTACTCGCCGATCTGGATAGGGGGCGAGTAATACTGTGTGGAGATTCCAGTCTGGTGATTCGACAGATGCGCGGTGAGATCGACTGCAAGGCACCGGGCCTTCAGCTTCTGAGACACAAAGCGTTGGAGAAGCTGCAGTCATGGCCTAGTCACGAGTTTCTGCATATGAAGCGAGAGTGGAATCAGAGCGCAGATCGACTAGCCAGCACAGCATTGCAGAGCGAAAAGGGAAGAACGGTTGTAGCTGAAGAGGATCGGCAAGATCTGATGACTCTGAACCGTCTCGACGAATTGTTGAAGCCCAATCAAGATGGTCAGCTAGCTCGGGTAACTGCGATCGCGAGATCAGCCAGGAGGATACGTCATGAGCCTGAAGTGATACAGGAGGAGATAGTACAGAGGATCAGGATTCAACGAATTGTCCAAGCTCAAGATGAAGAGCGTTGGATTGTCAATCTCAAGACATATCTAAGTGGCGATGTATCAAACTTGGATGCGGTAGAAGTGAAGATGTGCGCCAAACTGGCGCCGGAATAAGAGATCGATGAGAACAATCTGCTATTTTTTTCCCCATGGCGAAAAGAGAGTCGGAAGATCGCGATGGTTTGATGCGGTTGGTGATCCCTGAGACGTTGCAGCAGGATTTTTTGCATCACTATCACACGAGTCTGGAAGGAGGCCATCAGGGTATTGGCCGAACCTATCAGAGGATCAGATTGCGATTTCATTGGAGAGGACTGTATCGGAGCGTTCAACGATATGTGGGCGAATGTACCGACTGTGAGACCGAGAAAGGAAACCCGATGATTCATGGGAAATCCCCGGGCAATCTACACGCAACCTATCCATTCCAGATCATCGCCATGGATCATATACCGTCGTTGCCCAAGTCCATCAAGGGGAACACCGAACTGCTCATTTGGGTCGACCTTTTCTCGGGATATGTGATTGAAAAGGCTAGCTCCTCTCGGACGGCACAAACAATAGCGGAGAATTACGAAGAATGTGTGTTTCGACGCTTCGGAGCTAGCGAGGCTATCAAGCACGATCGAGAACCGGGATTTATGTCCGACTTCTTTCGAGCCTTCAGTCGGATCGTAGGACAAAAACAGCGTGCTACTATGGCTTACAGGCCACAAGCAAATGGAACAGCCGAACGAATGGTGCAAACCCTGACACATTCGCTCAAGATGTACGTGGCTGAAGTTGACCAGCGAGACTGGGATGAGTATGCTGAGCGGCTCACATTTGCCATTAACACTGCACAAGATCGGATTCGGGGGGATACCCCGTTTTATCTGATTCATGGGTGGGACCCGCGATCGACTTTGGAGGCTACGCTACCAGTGGGAAATACGGGGACACGAGATCGCGATCCAAAGAGGTGGAGATACAAAATCCAAAGACAATACCAGCGAGCCCGATCTGCAGTGAACGATCGTTTACAAGCCGCGATCCAGGAGCGAGCAGATCGACACAACGAAGATCTGGAACCACACGAGATCGAAGTAGGAGCACAAGTTTGGCTATACCTGGACCGAGTTAAAGAGGGATATGCGAAGAAGCTAGCGCACATGTGGCATGGGCCATTCCGAGTTGCGGACGTATGTGGAGATCATGCTGTAAAATTGGAGATCGCTGGAACCCCATATCGGTTATTTCCGATTGTACATATATCGAAGCTAAAAAGGTAAAGACGTTCCCTGAACGCCCGAAGGATCAGCTTACGATAGAGGAATCAGATCGCTTGGATTTCGATGAAGCTCTGCTGCCAGACGACAGTTGGGATGGCGATCTTGAAGAAGGGGAATACGAAGTAGAGGCAATATTGGACGTGCGATCTGGTAGAAAAACCCGTTATGGGCGAGTACACCGGCAGTTTCTGGTGAAGTGGAAGGGATATCCCGATCTAAGTTGGGTGGACGAGGCCGATCTAAGTTGTGGGGCGATCTTGCAAGAGTTTGAGCGGAACCGAGTGAGTCGAAACCGTTTCGACGTAATGCAGTCTCATGAAGGCACGTCGGACGAACCTTAACGGTTCGAACAAGTATGCGGGAGGTAGCATATGCGGATGTAGGGGTTGAAAGATGTGCTAGACGGTAGCACATGCTGGTGGATGAGGTTTTTGTATGTGAGTATGGAGATAGTCAAGTGAATTACCTTCCTGAATGATGTGGAGCGATGAGGATCGAGATCGTGGAAGCTGCGAAGAATTGAAGTACCAAAAAGAAGATGATTGAATGACCTACACGATTATGAAAGACGATCGGGCTTGGATATCGACCTTGGACTAAGACGATGGAGCAGGTTTGAACTTGTACTGCAGACGAGGGATCTGCGATCCGGGATGATCTAGATGGCGCGGAGACCCAGGCCGATCGGGGACCGCTGGGGTGTGTCCTCCGAGATCGGGAGATCCGGGCGACAGGTCGCGATCCGGAGACAGAAACATGGTGGATCCTTCTGAAGAGATCGGCGAGGTGGGTGGATGCGTCGGAGAGACCATGAGACGGACTGGAGTGCTTGGAACGAAGTTGATGAGTGACTGTACTGAGGTCAATTGCTGTACAAAAGACTTCAGTACAGGGGGCGGTTGTGGCAAAGTCACTACTCGAATTTTGTACGAGGATCGGTGGCCACATCTTTAAAGCGCCGCTTACTGGTGGAAAAGGAGGCCATGAGACTCGGCGATCCAATACGGAGGTGGAAGATGATCTTAACGGGATCGGCGAACCGATCCAACTGTCGTTAGACTAATGGGTATGGATCGACCTGGGACGGAGCGATCTGGAAAGATTTACATGGAACAATCTGGGACAAGGATCTGGGACCGGGTGATGGGATATGACTCTGCGACGAAGGTGTAACTGTGGTAAAGTCACTAATCAAATGATGGGACGTGGATCGGTGTCCACCCAGTTAAGATGTCACCTACTGGCGGAAGAGGTACGCCTAGGACCAGGCGATGCAACGTGATTTGAGACGGGGCGTAGAAAGGGGTGATTCCAACGGTGCGATCTGGGACGAGGGACTGGATTGAACCAAACGACCACTCTAAAGGCTGATCAAAGGAAAGGATGTGGATGTTGAAGCAGAATCATTTTGATAAAGCATCGGAGTGCACACAATGAACGGAAGAACATATATGGCCGGATTGTACTGTGTCGATCCTCAACAATCTCGAATTGGGCATCAGATCGGTCATGATCCCCACTGATTATGGATGTATCGTTGATGAGAATTTTGGATCATGACAAACATGCTTGTTGAAGGTCCATGAGTGATGTCTCAAAAGTTCAGATCGAAAGAGCCAGTGGAAGCCGGTTAAATTGACGTCGCAAAATGGATTTAGACGCCTTCGGCATTTGGGCACTATTTTGGGCTTTTGGGTACCAAAAATGGGTATTTTGTACCCCATTTGGGATTTGGTCCTCTTTTGGCGTTCAGGTACGGTATCGAGAATATTGGCGCTATCATTGGAGTACAGGGCACGAAATTTCGACACGTGTTCAAGGGGGTGGTCAAGCTTAAAGGTGATATCGACTTGGAGAGTGACCTATAGTTGGGAATAGGCTTAAGGATAGGTTGGCTATTAATTTGGTTGGTTAATAAACAGACTTGAACTCTACTTCTTCTGCTCACGACGCACGTTATCCCCCCCCTCTTCTCCAGGCAAGATTGATTTGGCTTCCCCGGCGGGTTAAGGCACGCGTGTTACAGGGACACAGAAGACCGATCTTGGATTGTTGGCCAAGATCGAGAAGAGCGATCCCGGGATATCTGGCCCGGATCGATCAAGTACTCACACTCAACTCAACTGCTAGGGTAGCAGCACACAACGGAAAAGGAAAAGGATTTTGGACACAAGATCGCGAGACGGCTCAAGTGGTCAGAAGATCTGGACAAGGCGTTCAAGACAAGACCGAGCAGGATCGAAGCGATTCCCTGGACAGATCGGCACGTTTCATTTTGGCGAAACAAGACACCGATCTACCCAAATTGCGCACTTCCGGCAAGATCGGCCGATCCCAAGACCAGATCGGACCGATCCCAAGGCAAGATCGACGCAGGACTTTTATTTGCTGAGTGAAGATTTCCGCACAGCAAAGACCCCGATCTCGAAGACAAATCAAGATCGGTGCGATCCAAGATCGGGATCGCAGAACCCCCGTTCGTGGTGTGAAGATTTCCGCACCGGAAGCGAACCCTCAACCCAACCTCTCAGCGAGATCGACATCTCCCAAGGCCGTTACGAAGAGCTCAAGCCAGCCCAACCGACGGGTACACAAGGTGAGCACAAGTTCATACAACAAGGCACGGATCGGAGTACCCCCTCCGTGAGTCGGCAAGTCTGGGCAAGTGGAAGATCGACACTCATACAAGCAATTTTGTGAGATCGACTTCACCACAACTGCACTAACGGATCGCATGCAAGCGCTCGAGGCGTCGCAGATGCAGATCGACGAGGACGAGTGACTGCGAGGCGCGATCGACAGTGGATTTTTTGCGTCAGCGCCGGGACGCGGCATGGTCGGTACGACTCTACATCGTGACGCGCTAGGATATGATGCTCCGAGGCAGCCGCGTGGACGTGTTCGCGTGACGCAACCAGGCGACTCGCTATTCCAGCAGTTCGGTCCACAGTATGTCGTTCCGCGACAGCCAGCGGGCACTGCTAGACCACAGGCGTCGCGCTATGCGCCAGTGTCGCCTCCAGATTTTGAAGATGTTCATGCGCCTGTGCCACCAATGCAGCAGGCACCGACGCAGTAGTTGCCGTTGCGTTTTCCGGACGCACGCCAACGTAAGCTTGCTATTCGCAAGTTTGATCGTATAGAACTGTACCAGGGTCTCGGATCGGGTTTTGCTGACTGGGGTCGCACGTTCTTGCGCCAAGTCACTATGGCGCAGCAGGCCTGCGGATTTGCATGGGCTGAAGATGTCAAGGTTGACTTGCTGGAACACTACCTAAGTGGGACAGCAGAGCGGTACTACCAAAAACAAGTGGACGTTTGGTGGCTCGAAGAAGCCTCTCTCGATCACGCTATGGGCCGGTTGCTACGCACATTCAAGACTACAATTACGGCGTCGCAAAGCATGAAGCTTTTACTGCAAGGAAGGATCGCAAGAGATCATGGCCTGAACACTACCTGTATATGGTTGCTGTATGCGATGTTTGCGGTGGAGGTGTAGAAGCACAAGTTCTCGACAACATTGTTTACTATGCGTCGGCTGATCTTGTAACAGTTTTGATGGCCGAATACAACAATGACCGACACGATCATTTGTGCCAAGCTGAAGAGCTTGCGCATTTTGCACAACCTGTTGAGCTCGAGAGCAAGACCGGAAGGACATTAAGACGCGAGTTAGTCGCCGCTGTCACTGATGAAAGACGTCGCAAGGAGACACGTTCATGTTACCATTGTGGCAAACAAGGTCATTTAAAGATTGACTGCAGGTCAAAAAGGAACGTCAACAAGAGCTCCAAGAACGACGGCGAGGCTATTCTTGCTGTTAATGACGACAGCGACAATGTGAACGACGACTGGATACTCGACAGCGGTACCAGTCGACACCTGGTGAACGATGATCTCCTGCTGATCGACGCAGAGATTTGCAACGATGTAGTCTCGCTAGCTAATAACGAGAAGGTCGGTCCCTCCAAGGTCGGTAGTGTGAGACTCTCCGTGGTTGCCAATGGACAAGAAAAAACAGTCAAACTCACATACGTCTACTATTCACCGAGACTGGCCCGCAACATCATCAGCTATGTCAAGCTTGATCAAAAGAGATACAGTCTTCAGTATTCTAATGGCGAGTGATCAGTAGCTCGACGGAGTGATGGCCGAGTCGCGTTCGACGTGACGATGGAGAATTGTGTGCTAATCGTCGAGACAGTGAAAAAGAGTGTACGCAAAAAAGGAGACAGCGGATGTTATAATGGCTGCCATTCAGGAGAAGGCAGCAGATGAAATGACTTCGAAGATGCATCGTGGCTCTCTGCTACACTTTCATCAACGTCTGGGGCATCTGTCGTACGATGCAATTGAGAAGGTCGCGAGAAATTCAAGCTCGGGTATCGAGCTGACGGACCACAAAAGGATGACATGCATCACGTGCGCACAATCCAAGCAGACAAAAAACAAGCAGAACCAGAAAGACTCTGGACCGAACGCCTTAATCGACCGCATCGGCGGTGTCATCTGCTCGGACCTAAAAGGTCCACTAACGCCTGCGGATCGACTCGGAAACCGATATCTGATCAACTTCATCGATTACAAGACCAACTACTGTCGAGTATTCTTAGCTCGAACCAAGAACGCTGCAGCAAAGAAGTTTGAACACTTCTTGGTGTTCTTTGAGGGACGATTTGAGTGCAGAATCGCGGTTCTCAGAACAGATGGCGGTGGAGAATACCAAAACTGTGGATCTGTTCTGCAAATCGACAGGCGTTGCAAGACAAGTGAGTGAAGCGCGAAATCAAGCGTCGAATGGGAAAGCCGAAAGAATGCAGAGGACCGTTCTAAACATGACATGAGCGATGATATTCGCGTCTGGGATGCCCCTTACGTTCTGGGGTGATGCCGCTGATTACTCCACGCATATTCTGAACAGGAGCCCCAAGAATTTAGATCCTAAGAGAGCGTCGCCGCTTGAAGTTCTGACAAATAAATTGCCGGATTTGCGCAACATCGTCGTGTTTGGCTCCCATTGTTCCGTCTACCGTGATCCAAGCAAGAACACGTTCGCGCGCCGCGCTCAAGTGGCACAATCGTTGGATGCAGTAAAAAACTAAGGGTTTCAGAGTATTCATCAGGAAGGAAGACAAGGTCATCACGACGCAGCATGTCAAGAATATTTAAACGTTGTCTGAAGCCCAGAACAGGAAGCTCCGACTAGTCCTTGATGACGATGACCGGGCAAATTCAAACGAAGGCACTGAGACACCTGTGTGAGACAGAGCAGTAGTGTTACTGCGAGCAAGAAGCCCAAGAAGAAGAAACAGTGGACTCGCCAACCACACGTGACAAGAGGTGCGGCAAAGAAAGCAGCTGCAAGCCAACAAGAAGTAGCTGTCAGCGCAGATGTCGTCAATCACGTGTTCGAAAGAGATCCTCGCAATTATGGCGAAGCAATGAAGAGCAAGAAGAAACGAGTGGCGAATGGCAATGCGTGAGGAGCTGGACGCGCTCAAAAGAGACGAAGTGTGGCGTTTGGCGCTCCGATCAAGCAACAGCAACATTCTCCACAGTAAATGGTTCTTTAAGACCAAGACGACTGCCGATGGAGATTTGAAAAGGCACAAAGCGCGCAAGTTTTTGGCGTGGACTACACGCTAACTTTCGCTTCCGTCATGGACATGACGACAATGAAAATAATATTGGCGTTAGCTGCTACATGGGGCGTCCCGGCTAAGCACGAAGACGTCCCCAATACTTACGTAAAAGAAGAGAAGGAACAGCATCTCGATATTCTGATGCATTTCCCCAAGGGCATGACGATTGATACAAGAGAGTTACAAGAACTGGGGGCAACGAAGATTGAAGATGTCGTGTTTGAACTGAAGAAAAGTCTTTATGGTTTAAAGCAAGCAGGGCGATTGTGGAGCCAACTGCTTAACAATCGGCTATTGGAAGCCGGATTTACTCGCTGCATCAGCGATTTCTGCTTGTATTACAAGCGCGACATCGATGGAGTCGTCATCGTCGGAGTCTACGTAGACGATTTGCTGGTGACTGGAACACCCGCTGTTGCAGTTTACGTTTTTTTTGCGAGCCTCGAAAGTCTTTCGACTAAAGATATTGGACCAGTGTCGAGGTATTTGGGGATGCGCGTGACGCGCAACGAAGATCGTGGATATTTTCTTGACCAGGAGGAGGCGATTGTCGACTTGCTGCGTGACCACGGCATGACCGATGTCAACTCAAGTCGTGCGCCTATCGGGACAGATGTTTATGAAGTTCATTGTGCAGACTGAGGACTACTTGCAGACACGTGTGCTCCAGGCAATCTAGCGTTCTTGATTTTCAGTCAATTGTCGGATCGTTGCTCTGGGTAGCGAGGTGCACAAGACCCGACATCGCATTTGCGGTGCACAAGGCACGTAGACAAACACACGAGCCACGGATCCATGACTGAAATTGAATAAGCGGATCGTGCGCAATTTGAGTGGCACGCGTGGATTGAAGATCAGCATGAAGCCAGCAGTCGAAGAAACTTCACAACATGTTCTAATGAGCTAAAGTGACGCAGACTACGCAGCCGACAAGGCAGACAGAAAGTCTTTGACCGTTAGCGTTATCATGCTAAATGGAATGATAATCAGCTGGTCCTCGAAAAAGCAAGGAGGAGTGGCGCTCTCGACGATGGAGTCGGAATTTGTGGCAGCGTCTGAAGCTGGACGAGAGCTACTTGGAGTGAGAGAGACGCTAAGTGAAATTGGTGAGTCGCCTGCACTACCGATGAAAATGCTCATCGACAACCAGGCAGCGATACGGCAGATTGAATGAGAGGCGTCGTCTACTAAAGCCAAGTACATAGATGTGAGACTCAAATACTTGTGCGACTAAGCTCGTTGAGGCTTCGTGGTGCCACAATATGTGCCGAGCGACCTGATGCTTGCGGACGTACTCATCAAAGCACTCGATGCAGTCAAGACGGTCAAGTTGCGATCACTGCTACACATCGTGAAAGCGCAGTGTAAGTCGCCGATAAGAAGGAGTGTTGCAGATCGGGATGAAGAGTCACGATGTGCGGCACGACATGTCAGATCAAGTTGGTGTCGGCGACTGTTTGCATGTGTATAAGAGGACAGTCGACAGATGAAGGGGCTGCAAAGATGGGTGAAGAAGCTTGCAGTTACCAACAGACAGGAAGCGCGTCATCGGAGTGGTGGCGAATGGTAGCGCAGCGACAGTAAGTCGACCTAGTAAGAGCGGCAGATACAGAGACATAGTGTGCGAGATATCGAGCAGAATAGCTAGGACAAAACGGCACAGTTTAAATATCAGTTTTCCTTTCTACCTCATCAAGTGCAAGCTCAACATTGGCTTACAGCATCAACACCAATACGTTGAGTTTTAGCGTGTAGCAACGTTTTGAAGCATGATCGTAGCCAAACCGTCAATCTATTGCGATTTCTTGAAAGGGATTTTGACGATCTGATGTAATAGTACAATCTCTTGACGAAGCTTTTAATCAATCGAGAGTAAAAGAAAAGACTTATCTTAACCACGGATTGCAGTCGGGGTCTCCAGTAGTCGAAGAATGCCCCTCGGATCGTCGCTAGCGGCAAACAAATCATCTTTACATACATCATTAATTACTGGATGCATGCCTTCGAAGAAAAGTCGCATGATTGGCAATCAATTCTGAATTTGACAATGAATACATAGAAAATAGACGACGCTTTCATTTTTGCTCTCTTGATTCCCACAGAATTAAAAGATCGTACAAAATTAATAGAATCTCGACGATATATACTAAGATAAATGTAGAATGCGGGATGCGCAGGACGCGTGGAATGGGACCGGCTCATCCCGCAGGACGGGACGTTGCGGGACGGAGCCCTCGTTTAAGACTATACATTTTGGCGTTGCTCATTCTGTGTACCTGGATCGAGATAAAGAGGTGCACTGTACGCACAGTTCTAAAATAGAATCGAAGTCCTACAGAGCCCTTGCTAAGGTTCAGTGTAAAATACTGCAACTTAAGATAGGAACGCCAATGCAACTTCACGCCGTGTCTGTACGCTGTCGATAAAATGCATTCTACACTGTTTTGTCGTAAAGCAAAAAACCACAACGGTTGAATCTCTCACCCACTCCAGAAGACACAAGCATTGATAGCGATACAATTAATGGTAAAATCTGTTGCTAAAATATGTATTTTTATCCATCGCTTAAGTGCTGTAGTGTTTGTCTGTAACACGGCCAACGCGCTTGCCAATAACAGTTTCCTTGACAAATAACATAATACAATGTCACAGTGTAGTTTCCAAGGTGAATTACACTGCTCGCCTGGTATGCGTGGACCTGAATAGGCTGCCGTAGTGCACAACTCCACGGCAAGAAAAGTTACGTGCCACCAGACTCGGCCGCGGAATAGCTGGCTTCGATAGGACGAATAAGGTACATGAAGTCGTTCCACAAGGACAACAGTGCCGAATCAGTGGATATTCCAACCTCGAAAAGCCCGATCACATGCGCTGTGATTTTTGTTGTCGAATAAACCACAGAACACCTCTATAACGTCATCGCTGCTACAATATCTGCTAGTAAGACAGAAATCAAAGTCACTCCTTTATCGGCAATTTACCTTGCTGACGATGCGTACGCTCTCCAGATTTGCTCGCGCCGGAGTTCCTTCAACTTTGAAGCCAAATATCCGCCTCTGGTTGTTGCCAGTACTTGAGTACTTTGATGACAGGTGTGAACTGAGTGGTACATGAGCGCATTGACTAGCAATGATACGCCTTGTTCCATCTGTACACTTTTGCATCTTCCTATGGATCTCGTGTCATTATCAGTTCACCACAAAAGTATATGTGGTACATTGACCTTGTGTGGTCATTATCACGTGAGATGTTGGCGACAGCAACGGTCGAACCTAAACACTCCTCCTGACCGTGGGGTGATACTTGTAACACGGCGAGAGCTCCGTTACTTTTACACACACACATACTCTACGGTCTTACAAGGAAGCGTAAGGATGCACGTGTTTTAATGTGTGCTGAATGTAGGTTAATTTCAACTCTGATTATTAGTGTTTTGTCCTAAATAATCCTGAGTCCGAGTAGTCTCTAAGCCACCAGATCCACTAAATTAAAGTCGCATCCTATTGGCTAGAAATGGGTATGAACCCACTTACTAGCATTATGGGAATACAACACACTGCACCGATGGCCTTAGGTGCAGTGTATACCTATTTTTGTATGTGTATTGACTTTGTGGGTAAACCTAAATTTAAACTAGTTAGAAATGACTCAAACAAGTAGTGTAACGGTAACACCCCGTAACAACACTCACGTAGAACTCGCGTATTGCCATCTAAATTGTGCAGCTTAGGCTCCTCGAATGTTTGGAATGGTTCTGACTTAGTCAAGATTCCTGCAAGCTGGTCCTTACGAACACACCAATTCACGCTTACGCTCTCGTTGCTTGTTTATCCATGATAAAATGCTATACTTAGGCTGTGTACTTTGCAGCTGCTGACAACCTTCTCATTTTTCGTCGTTGGTAGCTCTCTGATTGTAAATCATGATACTTGGAACTATTTCAGTGCTAAGCAGCTTTTGAAGAGACGGCCTTACTCATCAACATTTTGTTACATTCTTCGCACCGTCGACGAACTCTGCTTTCATCGTATACAACGCAACATAAAATTGCTTCCTTGAAATCCACGCCCAGGCTTTTCATTTACTGCAAGGAAGGCGCCGCTTGTCGCTTTTTGGTCGACTCGATCACCAACCCAGTCAGCACTGAAGTAAGTGTTTACTTCGATATCGCCGACTGAAATAGCATCACTTTTTTCCTATAGATTAAACCACGATTAGATGTGCCCTTGTAATGTCGAAAATATTTGTTTGGTAAGCTTTCAATGACATGTTCGCGTTTTCTCACGGTGCCTTGACCCCAAATATGGTAGCACCTTATGTCTGGACGTATTAAAATCGATATCCACAGTGACCTTATATCTGGACATGTAAATTCGATATCCAAAGTGGAGAGCCGAGAGCTTCAAGCTTACGATGTAGGTTACACTGTCAGGACTATCATCATATGTGCTGGTATCCAGTGGATCCGTGACAGTTCTGACGTGTTTAAGATTAAAAAAAAGAACGGAGTGCGTCACTACCCATGCTCTGCTAGGACAGAAATAAGTTTGCTCGGTCTCGCGCAATGCGATCCCAAGAAAGCTCCTCATTGTTCCGATGATGTTTTTGCTGAACCGCTCTCCCGGCTTCAGTTTGATTTTACGCATATCCTCTTCATCATGGAACGCGACAAAGCGTCATCCACATAAAGTCAAAGGAAAATCACCCGCTCGTTTTTTTCGCGCTTGTAGTAGATGGAAGAGTAGAGTCGTGACTTACTAAATGCAATTGCAATAATGCACTCGCCGATGATGGCTTAACAAGCTCGCTTACCTTGTCCTCCTTTGTCATAAATCTCTCTCGGCGCCTTCGTGTCGAGAATTGACGGAGCAAACCCTTTACGAAGACCTTTGTAGCATCTTTCCATGAGCCAGTTTTTAACTGATCAAGCTTTGAAGTAAAAAAGGCGCACACTACTTTCCTAATCAATGAATGCAAATGCCCCATTCGTTATAAAATACACGCCTTACTTCCGGCTCGGTCAACAAATCTTGTTTTAAAGCGCTCAAGGCCATCATCAGCATCGAGCTCGACCTTCGAAATTTATTGGCTTCAGACAGAATTTGTACCCTTGTTCAATTCGTCGAAAAACTACGTAGTACCCATCTCAACGATCAAATTAATCTCTGGCTTTGTCGCTTTCATTCCGAATTCATTTTTGAGAAAGAGTCATGAATTCATTTACAGATATTGGCTCCTTCACTCGTACGACCACCGTTGCGGAGCCGTCAGCATATCGAATAGGCATGGTAACTTACGACGCCTGCGTCGTTCTTCCAGCGACTAATTTTCGTTGACACAAAAATTAACGCTAAATGTTTACAGCCAGGGCCTTTCGAGCTAAGATCTCTTCAGCTTTATGTGCTCTCTGCGTCAGAAGTGTTGTGAGTATATCATCTCCAGCACGTAGATCCTTGTTGATACTCTTCTTTATAGAGATAATTGAATAGACATGCTGCAATTCTAAGATATCCGTAGTGCGTTTGATGAGCACGCGATTACCCTTCACCTTATCACCGATTTCGACTCACACTTCTTTCGCGTAACATGGTCTTGCTCTTGACGTAAACAGCAATTTTGTCTCTACTTTAGCATGCGACCAAGGTTGTGATTGTGTCCGGTGGGAGCTTTTAAGGGCGACTTGTTTCCAACATTTGCACGTGAGGTTTCTTAATAGGGCTTCTGTAGCAGATTTTCAGACCACGGGAAGCGGGAATCCTTTACAGTATCAAACATCATTACTTGCATGCCGTCGTACAAAAACATATCATCACCTTTTTATTTGAAGACGGCCCGTGGCTCCATCAACTGCTTGTGGATGCCGTGCTTCGTGCACCACTGCCTTTTCTTCTTCGTGTCGAATAATTGCCGTATCGGATAACCTTCACTAGTGCGTCATATTTTCGCTCGAACCTTGTAACAAAATCATTTAGTAATGGAAACCATTGAGGCTTGGAGCGCATCAGATTTAATTTTTCTTAGCTGGACGTTAGTCGAAGGCATACAATGAGCGCTTGATATGTAGGCGATCTTGTGCATTGACATTTTCTTTTGATGTTTACCCCATTTACGGCGCCAATCTCGTCCATAGGCGCTATATTGGAGGTATTTATCTTTGCACTGCTGCGCATTTTG